GAGAGAGAGCTTTAGAATAGCAGTTTCCCAGGAGATTGAGAATAACTATTATTCACATCTGCCTTATTCATAAAGCCCTTGAGTGCTGGTGAGTGCAGCCAGGTCCCTGCTGACGCAGTCTGCCAGCCTTGTCAGGGCAGTGGGCTGTGAACACTCTGCACCCAGGAAGGCACCTACACCACCTACAGCTCCTGGAGGCTTGGCTGGAAGTGCTGTGCCTTCCCACAGCCTCAGTGTCCAGTCCTGGTGGCTGGTGACTTGCTGTTGAACTTCCTTGTGCCACCGAAGGGGAATGAGGATGGGATCCTCCTCTGCTCTCCCTATCCTGCACAGCCCAACAGAAGGGCAGCCCCTGCTCCGTCCTGGGGGTGGCACAGTGGGCTTGGAAGAAGGTTTGGACTGGCACTAAAAAAGCAGGGAAATTCTTTGGCCCATCCTTTTCTTTTCTGGGTGCAATGTCCCCCATAGCCTGTCCTCTGGCTTGCAAGTTTGAAGGGATTTCTGAGTCATGGTGCAATGAAACTTTCCACCTCTTGCCTCAGGCTCAAAGCCATTTAATGATAGTTAGAGAGGCAGAGGTGAATCCAGTGATCATCACAATGTCCTGACCAGGAAAAAAATTACCTTTATCTATAAAACAAATCAGTGCCTCCTGGCCAACTGCCACAGTTTATAAACTAAGTGTGGATTATCCCTTTGGCCACTTTGGGTTAGCTGTTCAGGCCATGTCTCCTGCCAGCTTCTTGTGCACCTGCTCCTTGGCAGAGCTTGGGAAACTGAGAAGTCCTTGGCTTAGGGTAAGCACTGATCAGCAACAACCAAAACATCAGTGTGTTATCAGTATTATTTTTGTACTGAGTCCAAAACATGGCATTGTGCCAGCTACTAAGAAACAAGTAACTGTATCCTGGATGAAACTAGGGCACCAATTAAATAACTGAAGGTCTAACAAATGATTCCTGGCTCTAAGGTGTCAGCTTACTTATTTCCACAACATGTAGGGTTAGGTCCATCCAGAGCAGATACATGGCGGTACACAGTGCTTGACTCTTAGCCCCTGAGGTCATAGGGATATGAGGATTTTAAGACACAGTTACATTTTTTGTAGGCTTTTTTTTCAGTTAAAAACACTATGATGTGACAGGTCTGTCAGAGGCTACCAGTTTTTAATAATATGAAGATAAGGATATGTATCAGATGTTCTAAAAGAATATCTCAGCCTCTGAAGGTACAAACTTGGTGGGATACGTTGGAGGAATATGTAGGATGGTGATAACCAAATTGTTATGGTCTCATCCCTAGTGATTTTTGGAAGTTGCTCTAGAAGTGAGGTATTTGCCCAGAATTTGTCTTGAAGAAGTCCTGAGACAGGGCTCAGGAATGATCTGACACTTGAACAAGGAGGACAGCAAGGAGCAAATCCTTGAGCTTTGTACCCAGCATTCCTGTTCAGCAGTGCAAGCACATTCCAAGAGAAGCAGACAGTAGCTTTAGGCTCTGTTTCTCATCCTGCAGCTCAGATTCCCAGCAGAGGCCTTGTTCTGAGCTGTGCAGCAGCACAGATTTCTCTCATCCCAACTGAGTTCAGATAAGAGGGGAAAAGCAAACAAAGCCCCCATTTCCTCTGCTGCTGGATGGGAGATTTCACTGCTGTTGGTTTAGGTACATGAACTTTGTAAGTGTGCAAGAGCTAAAGCAATTCAAAGGTAGCACAAGGAGAGAGAGCCCAGGCTGTTTGCATCCCTGGACTACTCATCCATTCAAATGCCTTCCAAGGCACCTTCCAGTCCACCAGTCCACCTTCCCTGGACTGTGGGCAAAGCAAGACTGACTTAAGGGGACTAACTCAGCAGCCCTGGGCTGGGTGGGAGTTCATTCATAGGCTAGGAATGTTGTTTGCATGGTGGCGTTTGGTTAATCTCAGTGATTATAAAAAGTTTGAGATAACTCACATCAAAGAACCTGAAGAAACAAAAGAGAAGATGCAAATTTTACTACCTAAAAGGATTAGTGAGTTCTTAGTAATTTAGTATATTAAGTCAAATATTCCATTATGAGGAAAGCAGTCTTCTGGAGCTTCTGGCCACACAGCCTGCATGACAGAAACACCAAACTGCCCCTAATCAACAGCTAGGCTTTCATTTGTGTGACTCTCATGTGGTCTGTCCAAAGTGGTGCTCAAAGAAAAGATTTCTAAGGAAGTTTATTCCCATGACACAGCTTTGATTCTTCCCTGCTTCTGTGACAGACTCACCTGTGCTTTTACTGGGGATTAAATCCCTCCTTCTACCACCATCTTCAGAAAACCACTCATGACCCAATTTCTGTCTTTCTGTTCACAAAGTGCAGTCAGGACATCCTTTGTTAATGGGGTTCTAGGCTTAGGCACTAAACCAGTAATCAAAGCTGCTATTAAAACATCCACTGTTCCCCATAAGGAAAAAAAATGGACCTAAAATATATATCTTTATTCTGAAAGTGACTGACAACATCCAGAGACAGAAAAACAGTGGGGTACAGCTGATTTTAGAGGCACACCATCTGCTAATGGAATAAACATTTTTACTTGTTCTCTGCAGTTTAAATCACAAGTTTTAAATCTCACAATAGCCACTGTAAGGCAAAGCATGTGCAGAAGAATTAGTTGCAACTCTCCTACATTTAGAGAATTATTAATACCCAAGTGGTGGAGAGAGAAGGGGCAAGAAGGAATGGCACGGACCAAACCTGAACCTTGACATTGTCATTTTACTTTCTGGAATATTTAGAAGAAGAATATTTAAAAGAGTATAGTGGTGAAGGGGCTGAAGATCGACTCTTTTCCATAAAGCCTAAATTGGCATTCCACCCATCTTTTGAAAATGGCAAAACACAACAGGAGAAGTGCCACTAAAACATTAGTAGAACTGAGCTGGACAGTTCAGAAACACATGTTAAAACAGGAAGATATGGCTGAAAAGTATGTGCTGACAGTGTGGCCAATTTGTAGATAGTAAATTACAAAGTGGATGTACTATTTATCATGGGCTGACAGTTTCTGTTGCTCTGACAATTTTATGAGAAAATAAAAAGAGCAGAATTATAACCACTGTCCAAAATGTTTTCTCAGGGTTTAGCATCAGACCACATGTATTTGCACTATGGCAACACGTGATTTTTCCTGGAACCTTTGGACATTTATGCTGTTGAAGGTCACAAAATTTATTTCATTTTAATAACCAAGGAAGATTGATAGACATTTTATTAAACACTTTAGAAGACAAAAATAGATTCACTGCAGCAAGTCATATTTTTTAATACAAAAGGGGAGTTAGTAAAAAGTTAGGTACATATCCAACATGAAACATGAACATGTGGCTTTCAGGAGCTTTCAATTTTAAAGACTGGAAACTCTACTTACATCAAACAGTTCAAACACATCCACATCACAAAATCTTAGTATTGCACTATAGCTCCTCGTCCAAGACATACAATGCACAATGTGCACCTGCACTGCCTACATACAAAGGACCATCAGCAACACATCAGCACAGCCAGACAGAATCTAGGAAAGGTCAAAGGGATCATAGGCTTGGTGCCAGAATTATGGCAGTAAAATTCAGCAGTGTGGACCACCAGTGTCCAACGTAAGCCCTGTTTTGTGCTGGTAATGCAAGAGACATTAGGAGGGCAGCTGTGCTGCTGTCCTGGGCAGAGGTAGCATAAAATTATGGTCTTAAAGACTTCTTTTAAAATAAGGCTTGTCTTAGTTGAAAGCCATAAGAAAGCAGAAGAGTTCTTGTAATATTAGCCCTAAGTGTAGCACAGCAGCACTTTCAGATCCACTCAGCTTCAGATCCACTTCAGTTCACAGCGGCTGCCAGATTCAAGTATGGGCACAATCTCTGAAATCTGCTGCAGCAGCACATGAAGAGTTCTGTGCAAAAATGGTATCACCAGTTACTCCTGTTTGCCCCTCATCCACAACCATATGGAGAATGCTAGCAGATGAGAGCACAAAAGTGGGTGACACTAAGGAACTGGAAACTGGAAGTCCTACCTAGCTATAAAAGAAGTCCTCCTGTGTTTAAAAAGCCAGCTTGGAAGGGGTGACAGTCAAGTCATTTCGCTTTCATGGACAATACAGAAAAAGGAGTCAGTATATCACATTTGTGAAAGATATACACTGCCACTGTGGTGCTTCACTCTCCCCACCCACCTCACCTTACATGTAACATTTCAAGACAAAGGTCATTTTAATACTCAGTGAAGGTTGAGGTCTTGGGCAGAAGGGACAACATTAAAGCTGAATTCTACTCTCCCCAAACGGTCTGATGTAGAAACACTCCCCCTTATTTTGTCTCTTCCAATACACTTAAGCATCTTTAATTAAAATACAGTCACAATGTGTGTGGGGGAGAACAACCTGTCATACTATTTACATCTACTTCACCTTGGCTGTTGGGTGCTTGGCTCTGCTGAGGCATTTGGGTGCTACTTTAATACAAGTTAGTCTTCTCAAGTGTGGTTTGAAAACACCACAACTAATATTGCATTTGATACTACAAACACGTTGAGAAAAATTCTACACATAAAAACATTACAAAACAACTTCAATAAACTGTTACAAAAATAGAACCAATTTCACTGATCTTCAGTCCAAAACTCCCGAGGCAGATTTATTAGACACTAAGACCAAAAGAAATTGAGGGATAGAAATTAAACCAACACTTAGCTTACACATCATTACATTTTATAAAAACATTATTAAGACATTATTAATTTATTAATACATAGAAAACTCAAAATCCCTAATATTTACAGTACCTTCTTAACACTAAAACTGTTTGTAGTCTCTTTACCAGTGTCAAGTACTTAATCCCAGACACAAATGTTGGGATGACTAACAGACACATATCAGGCTGAACAGAGTAACCTCTATTTTTCCCATGAAGACACAGCCAGTACCAGCGGCAGCCACCATCCAGGACAGATTAACCAGATTCATCATAAAACCCCACCCCCAGCCCCCCTTCTCCAGGTCAGAGAGCCCAAAGTTACGTTACTTAAACCCCAGAACTGAGATGGCCACTGCTGCAGAGCAACACTTCAGAATGCAATCAGCGGCCATCCCTTTTTGCTACCTGCAGGCTTATGTTCCCATCCCTGTCCAGCATGGAGTGAGCTCTGTCCAGCTGCCAGCTTCAACTGCATTCAACACACATCACTTGCTACTCATGACAGAATTGTTTTGTTCTTGTTCCTCCTTGTGTGTGGTTTGATTGTTTTAATAAATAACGGAAGCGTAGAACGTGCTTTTTCAGGCACATGACTCCTGATTATTATACAACAAATAGTCTGTAAACCAGTTTGGCCTCTGGGGAACTGTCAGGTGATTGAGAACGTTGCATTAAAGAGCAGCACCTTGCACTGAGCCCAGTGGAGAAGCCTTCCCATGGAATGGGCTCCTGGCTCCTGCAGCTGGGAAGCATCAGCACGAAGAATCTATGAGCCTTTGGCGAAGTCTCTTGTCTTCTCTCATATTGGTATTGCCACTTGCACCACGGTCTGTCAGAACTGAAGAGAAGGCAAAGCTTCAGAAGAGAAAGGGCCATCAAATCACTCAACACCTCCTGGTGCACAAAGAAAGTGCCACCCTGCCTGTGCTGCACTGCTGGCTGTCCTGAGCTGCCTCCACTGTGCCCACGCCCAGCACCAGGGTGCCCCGCACGTCGCTCTGCCAGAGCCAGCACTGTGCCACTGGTTTGTCAGCACAGCCCCTCAGAAAAACATGCTGACACCACAAGGGACAGAGGAAAAGATGATGAGGTGTGGGTGAAGCTTTGCTGATGGCTGTGGAGCCTGCAGCTGTCCCCAGGCAGAAGGAGAAGGGCCACACCAGTCTGAGCTGGTCACAAATACAGCAGCTTCTTTCTGCAATCCATTTTAACAGCACTTCAAGCATTAGCTTGCTCTGATTTGGACAAAAATAGATCTTTGAAGTGTTTTCAGGAGGTGAAAACAATCTCAAAAATTCTCCTTTCAGATAAAAATCAGTCATATTTTCTATTAACTTTTTCAGCTCCTTGAGCCCAGATCTCCACCTCAGGCTTTTATATTTTACTTCCAAATCCACCTGTCATTTAAAAAATGGACAGATTTAAAAGGAAAACTAAATGCTGTCAGAATTACTCCAAGCTGCTGCACAAGAGATGGCTGCCAAAAGGGGTTCTTCTCATTCAAAAAGAATTCTGCTTGTTTGTTCTGAATTCTCCTTTTGTATAAGTTGACTTCTCCAAATCTCAGCCTACCCCAACTGCCTGACTCAAGTACAGGAACAGCTAATCCCTGGGTACTGATGCTTCTTTTTTATTAATTACAGGGCATAGCTTTCTGAAGAGAGAACAGATTTATTCTTTTCCTACCTTTGAAATAGTTCTTTAACTTTCCCTCAGCATTGTGCTCACATACCCAGGTAAGCTTCTAAATGTTTTAAATCATCATCACTTTTGGTTTACACCTCTCCCTGGATATTTGGCTTCTCTAATTCTGCACTTGAGGAAGGAACTGGTTTCACAATTAAGGTATGCTACATTTTTTAGGACAGAATCCTAGACTGTATTGTATATGAGTGATTGCTCAAGCTGACCATGTCTGCAGACTGATGGGATATCCAGAGAACCATTGCACCAATCCAGACTGACTTGGACCATTTTGACAAAAATCTCTTTACAGTCAATCTTCCTTGCTCTCTATGAAAGCAGGAAGAGGTTCACTGACTCCAGTCCCACTTCCCTTCTTTTGTCATTTCCTGCTCCTCTGCCAGCAGCATTTCTGAGCATCAGACTTATTTTTATATGCACCCATAACTTCTGCCAAAGCCTGAATAGAAGCAGAAGCAGCAGTTGCTGCACTTTGGAGCCAACTTCTGAAGAAAAGTCCTGAACCCACCAGCTTTCTCACTGGAGCTGCTTCAAGCACAACCCAGCCTAGAACTCTGCTACTGTGCAGGGGGTCTCAGGCAGGTAAAGTTCAAACAGCTGAACCTGTTGGTGCCAGAGCAGAGATGTCAGCAAGGACCACCAACCCAACAAACAACCCAGGCTTCAGCTGTGCCACAGACTTACACCACCACATTCTTCTGAGGTTATAGCACTTACACAGCAGGCAACAGAGCAAGGACTAAGGAGGTCCATTACCTTACAGAATATATTAATAAGGTTTTGGTAGGAATATACATCTAGACCAGCTTACCTTGTAACTCTGTTGCATCTTTTTCCAGCTCTTCTGTAGTTGTTTCTTCAGGCTTCTCCAACTCAGCAGTCCCTGGCTTGCCATCTATGGTATCAGTCTTAATAGTACCAAGGTTTACCAAAAGCTGCATGACATCAAACTTCTCAGAAACTGCAATGTTCTCCAGCACCTTAAGGCATTTAAATGATTTAAGTTCACTCACATTTTCCTCAAGAAAGAGGAGGTAAAGGCTTAAGTCATCAAAATGATTTGACTTAAGTTTCAGAACATCAAAAGTTGGCAAGATTTCATACACTTTGAGAACACCTGAATTCCACCTCCATGGCACAAACATTGCATACACTACCAGGGGCATCACCATCAGATAGACTATCAGGTTAATATAGCTGAGTACCTTGAAGACACCAACAGCAATAAGCTTGCACTGAACCACTTCTGGAACAGTTGTGTCATTCTTAAGGATCCCAGTTTTGATAGTGCAAAGAAACTCATCACTCAGAGAGGAGAGACGGATGTAGTAGCCCAGATAGAGGCATGCAATGAAAATAATTACTAGTGTGAGCAAACGGCATGTAATGTATTTCATTATTAAGCACTTGGAATTCTTTTTTGTCTTCAGGTACTGCTCCACAATTGGGTATTTAAAGTAGCTTTCAGATATTTCCCACAAACTGAAAAAGAGAGAAAAAACCACATCAAACTCATATAGATCAGATGCTGCAACATTCACCTACCCCAAATATCAACAAAACCTAGTACTCTAAATGAGATAAAAGATTGGAAACCTTCTTAAAATCACAGAATCACAATATGGTTTGCATTAGAAGGGTTCTTTAAACATCATCTATTTCCAACCAACCCCCGTGCTCTGCCATGGACAGGGACACCTTCTAGTAGGCCATGCTGCTCAAAGCCCCATCCAACCTGGCCCTGAGCACTTTGAGAGGTGGGACATCCACAGCTTTCCTGGGCAACCTGTGCCAGCCTCAACATCCTCACAGGGAAGAATTTTTTCCTAATGCCTAATCTAAACCTACTTTCTTTCAATTTAAAGCCATTCCTCCTTATCCTGTCACTACATGCCCCTCTAAAAACCCCCTCTCCAGTCTTTTTTGCAAATATCCCTTTTAGGTACTGGAAGGTGCTTTAAGGTCTCCCTGGATCCTTCTCTTCTTCAGGCTGAACAACCCCAGCTTTCCCAGCCTGTATCTGTAGGAGAGGTGTCCCATCCCTCTAATCATCTTGATAATACTCCTCTGGACTCACTCCAACATGTTCACACCCTTTTATTGAGGTAAATCAAGGGGAGTTTTATTGAATTCAGTAGAAAACCAATAGAATAGCAGACAAATGAAAGATTGAGTTCAAACACTGGAAAATGGGAAAAAATCCATAGCCCTCATGGCAACAAAATATTTTTGTTCTTTTCCAGTACAAAACAGGTGCAAATCCATGCAAAAAAGCAGACTTTCCAAGCACTTGTTCAAAAATAGAAGACTAGAAGGCTTTTTACTTGCCAAGACCCAACTCCACATGTCACAGGGACCTAAGACTGCTGCACTCCTTGTAACCCCACACAGAGAAACAGGTACCCTCGGCCTACAAGGAAGCAGGAACTGGATCTGGTTGGAACAGTGCACCAGCTTGATCAGAAGGGGGGGGGGGGGGGGGGTGGGTCGCTTTTGTGGGTTTTGATGTTTGAGTTTTTAATCATTTTTCTGATCAGAAGCTTTTCAGACCTGTATCTTAAAGAACAGGAGATAACAAGTAACTTGACAGTGTGCAAGGGACTGTCAAGAACGTTGAGAACTGAGGACTGAAGTATCTCTTTTCTTACACCGTGGTAGGCAAAACTACTTAACAGCTACTGCAACTAAAGAAATCAGAACATCTCAGGTAATAAGTAATCTGAAGAGCTCATTACATGTTTTCTTTGAAAAAAGAAAGTTATACGTTCCAGCTCCCAGGGCCAAAGTAATCATTTCAGATATCTTCTTTCTTTTAACCAAACTTAAAATTGTGTCAAGTCACCATTCAAACCTTTGCAATAAATTTCCAAGTGGGTACAGATGTCACACCTGTTACGAACTTGAAGAGCAAAGAAAGCCAAGCCCCAACATCTTACCTCTGTGTCAAGTTCTCATTAGCAGCTGGAATCGAGTCAGCAGGGTCCCTGGGGTCTCCACTCCGAATGCTGTTAGCAGCTTTGATTGCCCTGTTATAGGCTTTGTCAAGTTCTTCCATAATAAATTTCAGGTCTGAGGAAAGGTGAGGTGCTGCAGTGAAGCGCCAGAACAGACATGGCAGATACAGCAGGATAGCAACAAGCAGAAGGATGTATGGGAAGAACTGCAGGGAGAAAAAAACCCTGATTAGGCTTCACCTGCCTAAGTAATAAGTCAGCCAATCGCCATCGTTCCCCATAAGCATTACACTTCCTAGAGGCCTACTAAATCCCTGTAATTTTATTTAAATCCTTCTACTAAAACCCAATTTTATGATTATTTGGGATATGCAGGGAAGCAAAATCTCTTTTCAGACAGCTCCAGTAACTTTGCTGCTGCTTAGAGCTTCTCTCCACCAAAGGGAAAAAAAAAAAGCACACAGAATAAAGGTGCCATGATCCTGATAACAATTTCTGCATATTCAAAACCACTGGAGCTGACATTGAGAAATACAGCATTAACCTGGGGAAAAAACAAATAGCACAGCAAAGCAGCTATCAGAGGGGCTGACTGAAAGAAGAAGACAGCATCACCTAACTCTCCCTCTCCGATGTGTCACCACTGTTCATAGCAACTAAAACACTCCAAATACCAGCAAAATCTCTCCTGCTTTCCATTTGCTGTCAGGAGGTTAATGAATAGAGCTGCTACAGCTCTGCCTCTGCCTGCAAACACACATCTGTTCAGAGTGCATCCAGTGACTGTAAAAGATGTAAGTGTGGCTGTAGTACTTCAGGGTATTTGAATATTTTCAGGTAACACCTAAATGGAAACCAACACACAGCATCAGAGTGGTCTGGTGTTAATGCAGCACTGAGAAGTCAGGCCTTACATGGTCACAACTGCTTAGGAAAAGGGCTGAAGCAGGTATAAAATACAAGTGTGAAGTTTTACCATCTTTCTTCTATTCATCTACAAGTAGTTTTTGTCACTCTAATTCCTCCCAGCTGCAGGAAAGATGGTGTTTCTATGGACTCTGACATTATATTCGAAGCATAAAATTATAGATAACATTACCCTTACAGAGACACAATGTAAGACCTGGAGAGACAAGCAGTTTGTAATGAAATGTACTGCAAATTCAGCCAACCTCTAATTCATTCCATTCAACCTTTGCTAGCAAGCACACTTAACTCCAATCTAGCATCAGTTCATAAGGAACTTTAAATTAGTTGAACAAATATGAAACAGATGTAAGACATCACAAGTGTTACAGCCATGTGCCCCTGCACGTTCACTGGCAAAGCCAGTGGAGATTTTTAGAGGAAGCTTGAACTGAAGTTATTAATCACTGCAAGTGGAAAAGCTACACGTACATTTGCAGGTATTTAACAAGATGAAAATCTGGGCCTAATATCACAATGTTAACTTGTGTTTGCATTAATCAAGAGATATTAAAGTTTTGCATGCACAAAGTAATTTGATGTTATGGAACATTTTATTCGGGAAAATTACTTCTAATATGACCTACCATTAGAGCAAAACTCTGTGTTATTATTGGCAGTAGGAATGCATATGATGTGTTAGACCTTAAATGACTGACTTCCCCTATCCACAGCAGCCCATAAAAACTGTGCAGAGCTCTGCCCTCACTACTGCCTCTCCCTCCTCTTTGCACACAACAGATAACATCAGATCATCTTCCTTCTCCCAGGTGTAGACCTTCCAATTGAGGTGTAAAACTCTGGTAGGTCCAATGTATTTTGTACATCTCATGATCAACACAAGAACTTGGTCTTCTTCTTTATCACTGTGGACAATGCCACCAGGTCTGAGTCCTGATGCCTTGATTTACCCAAAACTTCATGGTTTCACATCCAGGCTCTATCAGTCCTCTGAATTCTGTATGATGTAGAAATAGAAATGATCTGTCTTTGAACCCATCTTATACTTACCTAAGCTCCTCTAAGCTGCTGCAACACATTTTCCATAGGTCTTAACAAATGCTTAAGATTGCCTGTATAGCTGCAAAGCCTGTTTGACTTCACTTACACCTGTGTCATACACCTCTGAGCCACCTTCCACTGGTGCCAGATGGGGAAACAAACAACAAAGACACATCTGATTTAGTAAGGAGCAACCAAAATGCCTTATATTGGTTTACACCACTTCGATTCAGTACTCACTCATTTCAAATTTTACCAGCATAAGAAGATGTATTAATTCCCTTTCTGACCCTCAAAACTAGAAACGCCATCAGGAGCATCCCATATAATCCTAGAGATCTCTTTACCCCAAGCACTACAAGACATGTGGTAAGAGGCAAGATAGTTTTCATACTGGAGTTACAGTCCCAAACCTCCATTGTTCCAGTCTCCACTTCTTCTTTTATAATATAAAAGAATTCTGCACTTGTGTAGCACATTGGCAAGCAGCCTCTTGCTCTGTCCCAGATGTCCCCCACTGTCCCCCTCTAGCCTGCCCTCTTTAGGCTGTTGCCTTAAAAAAAAAACAGCTCCTGCCATCTTGCCCTGCACCTCCTCCTCTCCCCAGCTCCTTCACCACTGCCTCCTCACCTAGAGCATCACACTGCTGGGAAAAGGCACATTTGCTATGCATTTGCTGGGCTTCCTCTCACCAGGCTCTCATCACTCCCAAAGCTCAGTTCATTGCAGCATAAGTGAACTCTGTGCAACTCTTTTCTGAATAGTCACAAAACCAGAGCAGTACACGATCATTAGTGCAGCTCTTTTTGTTTGCGAACAAAAGTCTGTATTTGTCATCTTTTCCACAGCACCGGATGCACAATTCCATCCTTCTCAGGTCCTGGCTTCTTCAAAAATGAAAGATACACTTGTTCTATTTGTTAACAGTAGGCTTAGATAACCAGCAAATTGTTTTGAATCATTAAAATTTAAGGTCTTGAATGACAGGGAGAAGTGAAAATGCAAAGTCATCTGGCATGAGTCCTAGGTTTCAGAGCAACAGGGTTGTCAACGGCAGCTGGGTTGTCCAGCTCACCTGACTATATTTGACAGTCAAACATAATGACTTCCCATTTTAAGAGGAGGACTCTGTGGTATTTGTGCACAGACAACCATGTGCCATCAGCCTTTCTTTTATGGTTTATGGTTTTATGGTTTATTTGCTCCCAAGGCGCCGAACGCACGAGGAGGAAGTGCCCCTTCAGTCTTGGGTAGTTTGAGCATTGATGTAGAAGGAAGTGTCACTGGTCCCAAGAACTGTATGTTCAAAGGTATGCCAGAGAAAAATACTGGCCCAGAAGTGAAACTCAGTTTTTCCTTTGCTGTGTAGTTATCAAGTTCCTTCTCAACATATTCAGTAGGAGACTGACAAAAGGAGTGGTGTGTGCAGCAGGGACCCAAACTGCAGTGCCCTGTAAGTTTTCTGCTGCAGCTGAGCTCCTGAAAGCTAAGGATGATGGAAGCAGGTTCTCCTGCCTTGCTTGGCCCTTAGCCTGATGGCACACTGCGGGGGGACAGCAGGCTCCCAAGGAGGCAGAGCACTTGGAAGCCAAGAGGCTGCCCCTGTACTGCTGCAGGTCATGTCACCATGTCACTTGACAAGCCCTCGAGCCCTGTGCACATTCCAGGCTGTTTAAGTGAATTTGTTAGCACTCAGCCACTGTTCAGCAAGAACACGTGCATGGGTAGAGAAGAAGAGGCATTTGAGCAATCCATTTGCAGAAGCACATCAAGTGGTGGAATCACAAAACTGTCTTTTGAAGATGCACAAGCACCACACTCCCCCAAAGGTGAAAGATAAAATCAGACTAAAGCACAAAATAGTCTGTCATCACCAGCTTCAATTCTGCTAAGGTGAAGTCAATACACAGAAAAGTTAGAAGGGCATTTAAAATAAGTGCTTTATAACCTCAAATATGCTTTTATCATGCAAAAAAAAAAATAGCTGGAATTGGTGGAGTGACACAAAGGGCATTTTCAAGGACCTAATCTACAGAAAGCTTGCCAGAGTCTGGATAAAATTGTCTGGAAGAAGATGAAAATAACTTTAATGGTATTTAGAAAACAACAGCTTTCTAATCTTACTTTATCTTCAGTCCCTATTTCCTCTGGGCAAACACTATACAAGTGACTGAAAGCAATCTGACTTCCACCTACCTGACCATGGTCAAAGAGTAACTTGAGTACAGTAGCACAAAACTTGAGCTGCACAGGTCTGGGTAACAGCTTTGAGAAAATTAATTGGCAGACAATTAAAAGAATGAAGCACTGGAAGTGCCTTCGTTAAAATACATAAACATGGTGAGATGTCTCCCTCACCAGCTCCAATTTTGGAAAAAGCCCAAGCAAAGGCACTAGTCCCCAAACAGGCTAATGACAGTAATTACACATTTCCAGAAGCAAAGGCATTAAACTCCCTCTGGATATGATCCAATTCCTCTTTGCAGCAATGGGAGGTGTCTCACTGGTATTCAGCAGAAACAGCTATAAATGACTGATCATTCTAAATGAGATCCTGTCCTGTCTCCAAACCTACAGGTGAATCTCAAACCCTATTTGACCTTTATCCCTCCTGTTACGTACTTTCTTTTCTGATACAGCTTCAAAACTGTTCTTCTCCAGTTCTAATTAGCTCAAGCCATGATCACCAGGGGAGGCTGTGATGGCTGGATCCAGTTTATTCTGGACTTTGGGGGACAGCTGGCAACATGGTAGTCAAGGGCTGCCAGGAACAATGACCCAGACCTCTTTCTGGGGTACACCAGTCAATCATCACACTCCATAAGCAGTGGGCAGCCCTGGCCCTGTTATGCTTTCCTGCTTGGCTACAGAGGGCATCCCAGCTTCTCCCCTTGAGCAGGGATACATCTCAAGGTTACTCCTCAAGGCTGAGAAATTCCTTGCTGTAACACACGGTCTGTAGGTGATTATTAGCATGCTTGAAATTTTAGCTGAGTGATTCAAAGGATTGACAGTGCATATACAATCTTTTAGACATAAGCTGTTGAGAGGTCTGGGACTAAGTTTGAACCTATCCACATCTGAACTCCCCTCTGAGAAGTTTAGACAACAAAGGAGTTCTTTCTGAACCTCATGACTCAACAGGAGGGTCTCCCCAACAACTCTCATTCTATCCTCTATGCACTAAATACTGTAGTGTATCTTCCCACTGAACCTTGATAAACCACTGTCACATTCACATTTATTTAACTGTGTTAACTCACTGCTTTAGATCAACACATTGTTGCTTCTCTCTTATGAGTGAAGTGGATGACTCCATCTGCAACAGAATGAAGTACCACTAGCACTACACTTTCAAGAAATTACTTCAAAATGCATCTGCATTTATAAATACATCTATGGGTGTCCTTGCTCTGACAGCCCTTAATCTCTCTGGGAAGGGTTTACAGGTGAAACATGAGGAGCCCTCAGTCAATTAAGAAACTGTACAAACAATGAGTCACTAGAACCAGGTAAAAATCACAATTATAACTGTACCATCAATATAATAAATAACCCCAAGGTTTGCTTTGGCGTATTCACAAACAAATGACTCAAAGAACAACTCAAGGGTCCATTGTAAATCTCTCTTCTATGAAAAGTGAGGGTTTTCACATAATTTCACTTCATGCATACAAAGACTGCAGACCCAACTCTGTAGGCAATGCTTTCAGCAGGTCCCAAAGCACTTGTCCTGCACTTTGAAAGATCTGAGCCAGACAATTGACCTCTCCTGGCTGTGCCACATGTGAAGACCTCTTCTTTCAGTCAGATGAATTGTTTGCCTGCATTTCACATGAGTATAAATCTTTTTCTGAACAACTCTATACCTTTTCTTTGCTTACCTTTATCTTCTTTGCTTCTCCCCAGTTAATAGCAGACTAGAACATACAGTAATTTAAAAAATCCCTAGAAGACTCTTGATCATAGGTAGCTCCATCCTAGCAATCCAAATTTCAGGGCTATGAAGTGGTCATCACTCAGGGTTCAACCACCCCTCAACTTGCTTGGCTGCTATCAAGAGCTGGTAAGATGATGCTCACTGTTCTCCTGCTTGAGTTTTCATAAATTTCTCTATGGATTAAAAAGTGCGGTCGCCTCCTCTCCTCTGTCACTACACTGCGAGGACTGCCCTCACAAAATGGCCAAAACCTTTTCTTCTCCTTCCAGTTAAGGATCAAGACAAGTTTTACCAAAATAACTTGTCAGGTGGGACACTCATCTTTAGAGACAATAAGCAAACTACCTGCACAGGGCAGGCAAATACAAAACTCCTCCATCCCCACCACCACTGACTGTCTGTCTGTCTTCACCACTCATCTCTAGAAACCAACATTTCTGTTCTGACACTTTAGACAGACACAAGAAACCTCTTAAGGGAATTAAACCTGAATGGAAAATCTCATAAGAAAACAGAGGCAGCAAAATAGTGAAGCCTGACCAGAGTAAGTTTCCTCAATGACAAACCTGAGGAGGAGTCAGAGGACTCAGCCATTTAATCATTTTGACAGCTCTTTCATTGACAAAGAGAAGGAAATCTTAGCATTAAATTAAGAATATAGGCAGGACCTACCATAGTATCTTCTTTATATGTATCTGCAGGTATTTTGTTCATTGAATTGTGCATTTTAGTACACAACTCATTTTGCTTCCTGCTGAGGGTTATCCACTGTGAGGAGTTTCCAGAACAACTGTTCTCCATGGGGAGAGGTCCTGGGCACCTTCTAGGGGCACAAAAACCACTAGAGAGTCAAGGAACCCAGAAGTTTGCAGTATGGTCCTTTTCAGCTTCCAAACTGATAAATTCAACCCCTGGGAGAGATCTCCTAGAGCAGAAAGGACAACCAGTAAAGGTGCCAAGCTTTAGGGAGTGCCCAGAACTGGAACTTACATTTTACTGTTCAAAAAACCAAAAATCCCAGAGCAAACTTGAACTCTGAAACAGGAGGGAGATGGAAAGGTTTCAGTTTTTCTGTTAAAAAAAAAAACCTCTGGAGGTTTTTTTGATAATCCTCCAGAGCAACCAGATGTTGAAAACAAAAGCAGTGCAGGTTACTACATGCTGGCTTTGTCACCAAAGAGGTCCCTGCTCCTCCTTCCTTCTGTGCCACACTGAGCACTGCCCCAGGAGGCAGTACTTCTGCCAGAGCACAGAGAGCATGCCAGAAGGAAACCCATCCATTTTAATCAGTAATGGGGCCTACAATCTTATTCCCCCAAATCTTTAATATAGTGCCTCCTTAAGTGTTTTTTATGGAGCCTTCCAGCATGCCAATATAGTGAGACATTAAGTGAGTCAGAGTTTTGGAAAGAACCTGAGATGCCCTGCAAATAAAAGCTCTACTTCCCAGAAAGAAGGAAAAAAGTTTTAAGTGAGGTTTTAAGAAGAACTGGGCCTAATGACCCCTGCTGTCCCTCTGTGTGCATTGCTGTAGATGCAGAGTCAGGTCTCCACTAACCACTGACCTGAGCACAGCAAGTCTCCCCTTTCTCCTAACATCACTGTGCTCCCAAAAGGCTCTGCTCTGGCCATTTTTAAAATAATTATTTAGCCAAATCTGCAGAGCAATGAGCTTGTGCATACTTTGTAGTGCAATGGTGTGGGGAGAACCCAAGTCTTCCTGCAGAAGTGATCCCAAGGCACTGAGCAGCTGTTGGCCCTGGATGCAAAGAACAGCCTTCAGATAGCAGAGTGGGAAGCTAAGTTCACTGTTAAACAGCTGTAATGCCACTCCTTCCCTGTAAACTTGTAAAGCATGGAGGCTGATGAACAACCAGAAGTATACTAGTTAATATTGATCTGCAAAGAGCATCTGCAGCTCCCAATGTCTGGGTCAGAGAGTGGGTGGCTAATCATGGATCTAGGAAGATGAGTCACCAGCCTCTGTAAAAGCCCCTGGCTCAGCTGAGCAGATGCACTGCTGACAGTCTGCAGGATATTTACAAGGAAACATCATATGCCATACACGTCATGGAGAACTGCAGCAATTTCTGATACAGCACTAGTCAGCAAATTAACATGGGTTGCATCATAAAAGTATGAGTGCTTAAGCTATTTGTAGCTGGCAAACAAGCAGACAATGCTATCAGCAGGTAACTATCACGTGAAATTCAACACAAAAAATTTGGGTAACAAGAGCCCATTCCCTCAAGAGAAAGGGGCAGCAAAATATCCAGGTTTGCAGGTGGAGTTTCCAGCACTGTGAAATGTTCCAGCAGCTTCGACTGGCCTCTGTAGAAGGTCTGGCTGAAGTGGAGTCCTAACTGTGCAAGGAAGAGTTCAGGCTAGAAACCAACAAGTCTGGCTTTAATATTCATGAAACACATGCCTATTGGGTCAAGGTTATCAGTGGAGCTAACTGGAGAAGCCAAAAGTAAATCCTCAATTAATGATTTGGGTCAGCAAACAAATCAGAGATAGCCTTGAATAGCCCCTCAGAGATTATACCACCAGATGACTGGATAATAAAATCTGAGGCTCAGGATAGAGAAGCAAAAGCGAGAAATACAGGTGCTGCAAGTCTCATACCTGAGCTCCCTCTAGCACCAGGTTCTCCTCTGCTCCCAGGTAGCAGGGGTGTATTTGCTGGGGCAAGTAATACAAGGGCTGAGGAAGGCAGAACACAAATTTGCAGAGCCCAACAAGCATTTCTTACCTTGGCATCAGCACTGCTCCAGCAAAGCTGCCTCTCGAGTTGAGTCAGCTCCAGGCATTGGCATGGCATTAACCCAGTGTGTAACTCCTGCCAAACCTCTGCTAACTGCTTTGATCCAGCTCAAGTATCTTAAAACCCACTGCACTTTTAACCCATAAAATAAATCCTTCTGTGCTTTATAGGACACTGCTTTACCTGAGGCAATGAAAGCCAGCTCATGGCTGGCCTGCAGACATGCAGAAGAGCACGCTGAAGACAGGGTTAAACCTGTTGGTACCACTGATTATTTCACCTCCCCCAAAATGTCTATCTGCCACAAGTCTCTGTCTCCATGCACAACTGGGCAAGAGTAACACAATAAAAATATAAAATGTTTTTATTACCCTGTTTTTCTAAAATAAGCTTTTACAAGCATTAAGGCAGTTGTTGTGTCCTGTACTCCAGTTTAAAAATAGTTCCTGGCTAAAGCCAGGTGAAGCATTCACTCCAGGGCAACACAGCAACATTAACATTACTCTTGTGTCAGATAGCTGGTGACCCTTTATTTAAAGGCAGAAAATACTTCCGAACAGGGCAGTACTAGAGAAGGTAAGGGAAAGAAAACATTCTAAAAATAGAGAGTCAAGTCAAAGGCAAGGACTACAGCAGAGCAGAGAAAGCAGAAAAGTGAGGCAAAGGTAGGTTTCTATGTGGAAATAACTTTGCCAGGAGATGGAGACCTATACATACTTTATGCAGTGACAGGGGTATGTTTTCCAAGTTGTTGTGGGATGGTTGCTTCTGCTGCACAGCTGCCCAGCAGTAGGAGTCCACATAAGCAGCTTGTCGCCAGGAGAAGGAGCTGGGTGCAAAACAGCTTATTTGAGCACCTGGGAAAACAAAGCAAAAGTTATTGCAGCCTCAAAAGATTTAAAAAAAAAGAAGAAAGCAAGCTTAGGAAGAAAAGCCTCCATTTAATATGTTGTGGTACCCAAAGTTATCAGGTTAAGCGATCAGACAAAGCCCAGCAGTTCTGCAGGGAGGAGGATCCAGAGTTCCCACTGCCCCCAAAGGCTGTAACTCCCACAGGGATCCATCTAAGGATGTCCCTAAGGGTTGAGACAGCATATATACAACACTTATCTTTTAGGCCTATTTCTGTAAGTCTTGTGGGAAATGTGACCTTTAAGATCTTTCTCACTTGCACTTAACTCAGGTTGGCCAAAGGGGAATTGACAGATACAAAGTGTGACCGCATCAGGCCCGAGGCAACAAATGCCATCACATACCATGGTGTCACAACTTCCCAAAAGCACAACCTACAGCTCACATGTCTACTGTAACAAGACCTCAAACACCATTCTTGCAGCCCAGCAGCCCTTGCAATGATGGAAGGGCAGGTTTTCCCAGGGTGCTGCCACTTCTGCCTCTGAGACTGCAAATTATTTGGAGGGGTTCGAATTATATCTGTGAAAACAAGGATTTCCTCCTGTAATTTTTGGCAGAGAAATTGTGGCCCCAGACACATCCAAAGGAGGCCAGGCCCCACCTCATCCGTGCAGTGATGTGCTGTGTCCAAGACTGCACGTAACGCTGTCATTCCCATTTACTCCCAGGACCTCTCCAGCTGCTCAGGAGCTTCAAATTAAGATCAAGGCCCCAGCTGACAGCAAGAGCAGCTATTTACCAGCCTTAGGGTGAAATTCTGCTCTGGCTAGTCACAGGCACCAGGTGACCCCTCCCACAGCATACTTCAACCAGGAGAAGTGGTCATGGGACATGGAGTACCAGTGGCTCCCTAGGTAATGCCAGTAAAACAGGGTGAAGGGGTTCAACTTTATTTCTGAAGCTTTGATAGCGAAAGCAATCCCCCCAGCACAAATACATTTCCACCAGACTTTCATAAATGTTGCAACAGGACAGTCATTTCACCAAATAATACCCAGAGTGGACATGGCTCTGCCACAAACATTTTTTCTAAGAGCAACACTACCAACACTTTTGCTAATATCAAAAGACCAACAGGGGAAAATGTGCTGTATTTTTTCCCCTGAACACATTCATCTAAGTTATGCTAATGGAATTGCTGTGTGCTTTATAGGAGTAAGTATGTAATACAAGCCTATATCATTTGTCATGCCTTTTTTCTAGTTTAGTTTTCAGAGAATAACAACTTCTTTTGGAAAAGGAACCAACTGCATTTGCCTTGTAACTTGTACGGCCTCTTTACAATGTAGCATAGTCAAGGAGCTTTATGAATAAAAGCCTTTCCATGAGTCACTATTGTAATTATTTCTAGGGCTGTAGTATCATAAGAACATGGTTTGATCATCATGGTTTGACCTGTCACAAGTCTCCCTTATGGAAAACAAGTTACTGTTTATCAGAACAGAGCTCATGTGATTTAGCAAAATTGGCACCACACAAGCACTTGCACTCCCCCAAAGCCTTGGGAGTTTTTGTTTCCCAGATGATTTCCATTAGTTGTGGAAACCAAAGAAATAATATATTGCAGAAAAAAAAAGGGGGGGGAAAGAAAGCAAAGAAAAAAGCAGGCATTTAATATCTGCTCTCCACGGGATAGGGACCATTCATGCCCTGCTCTCACCATTTAACCCATCTCCTGCTGTTGGCTGTGCCCAGTGCAGAGCAGCAAACAAGTGACCCTTTCAAAAGGAGAGCAATGGAGTGTTCAGAAAGATGCTTTGTCTTATTCATGTTTGTGCATCCACAAAAAGAAACACATTCCATGTGTTCATTCTCATTAACAGTTGAACACCACTTAAAGTGATGGAGTGTTTAAAAGGCAGAAGTGAGGAAAAAGGCAGGCATGCCTCTTCTCCAAAACTAGTGATGAAAAAGGCAGCCAGACTCCTTCTCCAAAATGTCATGTGCACAGCTTCATACCAGAATAGCTACAGCAATGCCAGTGCTGCAGCAGAGCAGAGACCATCACTCACAACCTACAGTCTTTCAGCAGGGACACTGGAAACCTGACTTGGGAGCCAAGCACATAGAGCTCACCTTCAAGCAGGGGGACACTCCAGTTGTTGGACTGGTTTTTAACTATCTGATTGCAGTCTTGTTTGTAAACACTTGTTAATTCAAATTACAACTTTGCAGTGACAGTACTAAAGTTAGGACTTATACAGGGAAGATGTTTTTGTGCATCATCCGTACAAAACACAGACCATTACATGCGTCAGAAAATGGTCACCATTTCCCATCTTTTATTTCCTTCCTTCCTTCTCTCCTCCAAAGGAGCAACAGCAGTATGTATAGAGAGATAATTTATTTTATGTTGGACTATTCTGGAGGAAGTTGAAGAGAAAATCTGTAGTTTCTATGAGAGAAATTTGGCACAGGGCTACATGCCTTCCACAGACCCACTGTGCACACAGCTATGCACAGGGCTAGGTTATGAGAGGCTAATGGTCCTCTGCTGTCACAGGAGCAGCCTCCTGGCTTGGTGACATGAAGCCATTCCTTTCTCTTGCTCCTGCAAGTAATAGCTTGGGAAAGAGAAAAGCAGCTAACAAGCCCACGTCTACAGGGAGATAAAATATACAAGCAAGAAGGATGAGGAATAACAAAAGACTGAATTTGTTAAGCAGTTGCCACAACAGTCTTTGGCTAATTTATCAGTACTCTTGGCAACAGACTTTTTTTTGTAATCATTTCCTGATTAGCTTTGGAGAGGGAGCAATAGGGATTTGTCTTTTACTTTTGTAAACAAATGAGGATTAAAAAATGCTATTTATGATGGGTGTCCTAAACACAGACCACCCAAAAGAGCTGCAGAAAGCTAGGCAGCAGCAGGTATGCAGCCATATCTGATGAAATGACACTTTTCCAAGAGTGCTAGGATTACAGATGGGGCTGGTTGTTGCAGCAGGAATTGCTTGCAGGCATGCAGCTGAGTGCAGAGTACAAGGCTGAGTCACTGCAGCCAGTGCACAGCAAGGATGAGCTGTCACCCCACGCAGCTGTGGCACCTCTTCATGGGTGCTTTGCCAACAAACTTCCAGCTATTGCCTCCACATCTGTACCAGGAATACCTTTTCTTCCCCTACAACTGGCTCTTCTGCAGCTCCTATGCAGAAAATCTATGTATGAGAAGAAACTTTCAGAACCCAAGGAAATCTAAAATTGACAGGAGAATCCCTGTTCAGTACTGGACTGCTTTGCTGGGTCCAAGGCAGGAGGAGCTGAGGGATCAGCACCCTCTGGCTGCACCCTTCACAAAAGAGAGGGTAAAGCCAGCAAGCCAGACTGGTTTCCTCTTCAGTGGCTCAAAACCTCTCTGCTGACTTACACATCTAATTAAGAAACTGCAGCTAACAGACAGGACAGTCAAAAATCAATGCAAATCATAGGCTTAACCATTTTTTTTGAACCAGGATCAAATGATTGCAGCTGGACTGCAGGACTGAACCTTCATTAAGTAATTATTTGGGTTCTAATACACTGCAGTTACTGCAAAAAGATTTGCATACACTTGGAGGAAAACCTGGCCATTAATCTATACTATAATTTTCCACAAGGCAAAATGAACTTGCCATGATATCCAAACATCTGATTTCATCCAGCAAGAATTATGCTCCTTAGTAGCCACTAAACAAAAACATAAGCAAGAAAATCAAGGCACACATTGACAATGCACAGACTGCCAGGCACCATCCAACACACATCCTCCACACCAACATTAAAAAATATTTTAAAGAATAAAAAAAGGAATCCCAATGCATGCCAAGTAGAAGGTTGGGAGAAACAGAATCTGTTGAAGAAGAAAATATGGAGCAAAATGGGGCACTGGAGAAAAAAACCTCTTCCCGGGGTACTTTGGCAACGGAGCAGGAGCAGAATGTAAAGCTCAGGTGATACAATGTTTAAGTGACGTGGGTCAGAGAAATTAGCAGGTGTATTTCTTCTCTACAGGGCTGCAAGTTGCCCTTCAGAGAAGTCTCAAAATCATACAGTGGGAAAAGAGATGGTTATTTATCAAGCACAGCCTTCAGAGTGATAATTTTTTTGATTCATGGGAAACAGCAATTGTGAATTAAATTTCCACCACATCTTTAAACAGAGTTTCCCTTCATGTGAAGGAGAAGCACTACAAAACAGTGGCAATGACCATCTAGCTTCCCTGCCAACGTGGGTGGTACCCCAAATCTCAGGCAACACCAGAGGCCCATGATTTTTACATTTACTCTGGCAGCTAAAGCAGCTTACCATCATTTCCACAGGAAATGTAAAGCTGGCTCTATAGGAATTAAACAGAAAAAATCTTACCAACAGCTGAAGATGCTCACACAATGACAGTTTATAGCTTGATATTAAAAGCAAATGTTTTTACAAGCTTGCTCTGGCTGCCCAGACAGGCCTGTGCCTGATGCTGGAACTTCTGCTCTTTCCTGATCACTCCCTACATGCCAAAGAGCAGCACAGTGTATCCTGCTGGGATCTGCACCTCTCTGACAGAAGGTCTCAGCCTGCCTGGCTGCTCTGGGCTGAGGCAATACATTCTTCATTAACGCCCTGGGTTTCACAGCACCCTGCTGAATTAAAGCAAGGTGTGCAGCAGTCAGCTGTTAGCACACAGCCTGCTCCAGCAGCACTGGGAGGGGCTTTTCCAGCTCTCACCAGCAGCTGCCATAAGTAATAGTCTTAGTCTTAATTACACCCAACCCAACTTTAGCCTCCAGTTCTTACCAAGTCACAAGATAGGATTATTTCTTAAGAGCCTCCCCAGGAACTTGTGAACATGAAAGGAGAGGGACATCAGCAGGGAGGATCAAACAGGGAGGTACAAGAGAGGAAAGGGGCCCAATTCAAGAGTTAAGACTATTTTTTCAGTATATTTGTTGTGATTTCACAGTTGTTTGGGTTTTTTATCATTTTCTACACATTTTATTCTCATGACTGCTTCAGACACATGATTAACTTATCTAGAGAGATCCAGGCCCAGCTGGACATGCAGCAAGGGGCACTGATGCCATTGTGGCTCCCACAGAAGCTTCTGGGATGCAGCACGCAGAGCTCCCCACTAACACCCTTCACCCAGCCAAAGCACCTCAAATCCCACAGGCAGCCAACTGCAAGGATGGAAACTTAAAAAAAAAAAACCAAACAAAAACCAAAAACAAACAAACAAAAAAAACCCCACAAAAACAACCTGGGTGGAAAAAGATGCCCATAAATTAGGTAGAAAATGAGCAGGGCAAGTAAGGATTGTCACCACTGGGCAAGTCCAAAGTGGTCAATGGGGACATTAACCCTGTGGTGTGCAGAGCATAAGGCAAGGCTCCACCTTCCCACCTCTGAGCATCCTCCAGCATGGCAAGATATACCAGAGAGCACCAATGGGAAATAAGATGGTTTTAATGCAACCAATCTCAATTTTGACAGATTCATGCAGATGCTGTTGGTTGGCCCATGGTCTGGTACTTCCTAGCCCAGCATCCTGCCAAACTGATAAGCCAGCTGCACTAAGCAAGCCTTCATTATGATTATAACCAAGTTTCCCAGCAGTCTACACTCAACATGTGATGGTTTCTGTGTCCTGGAAAGGCTTACAAGGTGTTTTCTTATACGATAAAACAGAGATGCTAAAACACCTGCATTACTTCATCCCAGCTACCTGTGAGCCATGCACAACCAACACCCAAACCAAACACGTAAGGACTGCTGTGGCCACCACAAAATTCCATTCTTCTCCTCTCTCTCCCTCCCTTCTCATCCCTCCCCAGGCATCCCCTCCCACACAGGCTGCAGGGAATGCTGCCCATTGCACAGCTGTGCCTGAAGCTGCTGCATGCAGGAGGTCAAACATCATTTGGTGACAAGCATAGATGAGCAGTTTACAGTTGCATTCCTACAGAAAAAGATGAAAATAGTTGATGTTGAGTGGACAGCTCTCACATCTGCTTTTCTTTAAGCTGCAACCCGAGACAGACATTGATACTTTTTCCAGAACTAAGCTGAATTTTGGCAGAGGCCAAAATGAAGCAGCTTGTTTTGATTTCCTCTCTCTCATCTGACTGTACCTGCTTAGGGCTGCAGCATCCTGCTCCAAGCAGCACCCTGGGAATAAGTATCTATGTTTTCAGCCAAAGTGTTTACAGTAAGAAAGCACATCTTGCAGTAGACACAATCTGAGATCAGAAACTGGAATTAAATTCTGACTCTCTTACTAAAAATGACACAGATAAAACTCTACTCATTTCTCATTCATACACTGGTGCCCCGTCTTTCAAGGGTTTTTTTCCCCTTTATAAGAAGAATTGCTGATTTAGCTACATTTAGATGGTTTCTGCTACCACGCTACCTGACCACCTCTAGTATAATTTACCCAAGAACTGCCAAATAATATAAGGAAATAATATCAAGCCACATTATAAGGAATATACATATACAGCACAATCCTCACAATCCTATTGTTATTTCCATTTTCCCATTCCCAGTATATATAAAATTATGTAAAATTGTATAAAACAAGGTCTAGCAGCAAAGAGGTAACACGTGCAGGATTTCAAGCAGCAAAGATTCCCAGGGATAGCAGACAACAGCTCAGTCACTGCTTAACTACCACCAGAACCAGCTTAAAATCCTCACAAAACTACAACTGACCATGGGTTTCTAAAATATAGCAAAAAGCAAACTCAGGTTAGTTCTCCTCCTGCCCCTGAAGAATGCCAAAGCAGGGTGCAGGCACTAATCCCAGAATTTCAGCACTGCTCCCTGGCTGGGTGCTCCAGCTGGTTTTTCCACACCTCCAGCAGAGAAATCCTCTGTGATTCAGCTGGAATCTCATTTATTTCCTGAAACTCCCATCAAAACTAAAAGTTGCTTGGTGGCTTCAGAAAACTTCCATAGCCTTTGCAAACATTTTAATAAATTTGCACAATTCGAGCAACCGCGTGTAGGAGGAAAATTGCAGGTGTCTGACACCAGACTGCAACAGAACAGGAAAGCACAGCAGGAAGGGAAGGTGACAGGAAGAGGTGCCAAGAGAACTCAAGGTGGGAAGAATGCAATTATCCCAACAGAAATAGAAGCTGAGCATTCATTTTTGAAAGGGTGTTCAGTTTTTGTACTCTGAGCAGGTATTTCCACCATTTTCACACCCACCTCTGAGTTATTCTTTTTCAGACCTAAAAATGAACCCTGACAGTTTCACTCAGTTTAGCACTCCTGAGCTTTTTCAGAGCATGATTATATCACGAAGTGTTTGAAAACAAACCGTGCTGTCTATTTCATTGCCAGCTGAAAGCCACAGCACAGACAACCAGGCATTTCCAGCCCCTAACATCCTCAGTGTTCCCCCAAATGCCTTAATAGAAGCAGTTTTGGGCTGTCCCACAAGCAGGCAGCCTGCTGAGCTGCAAGGACTGTGTGGGAAATAGGTGACAGCTGTCCCAGCAGCATGGCTGATTTACTATCACTTTCTGTATGGACACCACGTGGTGCAGTTTCACCCCTGCCCGGAAATAACAAGTACTTCTCAGAGTTATTTGCATATTTATTTCTCAACTAAAAAAGCTCAGTTTTCAATGCACTGTTTCCTTCTTACAGGTTCTCAGGATTATAAACAAAAACACTATCAAGATGCAGCCCTTGTTTTTATTCTTGCTTTATGAATCTACTGCACTCACAGATTCAATCCGAAATAATTGAAAGACAAGAACTTAACTCCTCTGAAAGAAAGGCACACTTTACTGAACTCTGCAGTTCAACTGTGTGTTTGATCTTTGTGTAAGGGAGCAAAAGGAAAGAAGTAAAAGAAACATTGGTACCCAGGCACTGTTTCAAACTGGATCCAGCAATTCTACAGTAGAAGCAGAAAGAAGAATTAAGGGCCCCATATACAAGCTACTGTATGGAAATGCAAACCCTCTTTTTAATTGCTTTAAGAGGAAGAAATGTGCCTATATCAGTAGCAGATCTAAAATTAAAAGAAGCAGGTTAGAGCGCAGAAATATGGATGTGTTCATCCAGTTTCTGGATGAACAGAGCTGCAAGGGGCTCAGATCTGGTCTCAGCATTTCCAGTCTGGTTGTCCTTCACTTCCCTGCGCAGTTATTGTGGGCCACAGCAATCTGGTGCAATAGGGGTGTAGCTGTGTGTAAATACAGCCATCTGGGGCATCCTATCTCTCAAGCAATCTGGTATCTGACTAATGCTATTCATGATGGCTTTGCACAGATTCACCACTCATCCAAAGTTCCATTCCACTTTCCACTCTCCTGACATTCACTTGACTCAATCCTGTAGATGATGGAGATCGGGTGTATAACACTGAATGCCAATAAACAGGTGCAGACAGCAAATCAAACTATCTCTTTGAAAGGCTGGAAATCCTGTGATGCACCCCTGTCTCCAAATGGATAGCATTATATATAGACCTTTGAGATCTTCATTCATATAGTACTATTCTTAGCAAATCATAGGAAGGCTTGGGTTGGAGGAGACCTTAGAGATCATTTAGTTCCACTCCTCATGCCAAGGGCTGCTGCATGATCACTTTTGTAACTTGGGGAGGTGGGTAAATAAAAAGATAGTAAAATAATTGGGGAACTTGGCCTTTTGCCTGTAAAGTTTCATCGACCTGTAGTTTCATCTACCAGAGTCACAGCAGAAATTGACAACTGGCCGGGAACAGCTGCAGGAGGGCAGAGGAGCAGCGGAAAGCTTCAGAGAGCTCTGCCACTGCCCGTCCTGCGGGTGAGCAGCCCCACCGAGCCGCCTGCAGCGCAGGGCAGAGCTCTGACAGCCCTCCCCGTGGCACCTGTCCCTGACAGCTGAGCCACACCGAATCCTACTGCCCAGCACCCGGAGCGGCAGCAGACGGGCACATCCCTGGCACATCCCGGCTGGCCGCTCCGCTCTGAACTGCGCTGGGAAACAAAGGGCAGCGCGGCTTCAGCGCTCCCGTCGCTCCCCGGCAGAAGATGCGCCGGCTGGGCTGACAAAGCCCCTGCTCGGGAGGTGTCGAGAGAACGGCAGCGGCCAGGGAATGCCCAAGCGAGGAGGAGGGCCCGGGTGAGGCCGGCCGGGCAGCCCAGCACCCCTGGATGAGCCTGCTGCCAGGGATGCGCTCCGGGACGGCTGTGTTCCGGGAAGGCAGCGTTCCCTCCCGCGGCCCAAAGGCGCCCCCTGCCCTGCCCTGCCCTGCTCCGAGCGGGAGCCCCGCCGGCAGCCGAGCCCCGCCGAGCCCGGAGCTCCGCTCCGCCGCCCCCCGCCCGCCCAGCCCTTTGTTCGCCGCGGGAGCCGCCGGGAACCGGGAAAGGGGGGCGCCGGAGTTACCGATGGAGACCTCCTGGGCGAAGGCGAGGGAGATGAGGAGCAGCGGCAGCCCCACGGCGATGCAGGTGACGATCTTGTCGAGCGCCAGCTCCAGCCGCAGCCCCTTGTAGCGCGTCTCGGGCGGCTCCTTCAGCAGGAAGTCGGAGAACACGTACTCGGTGGCGATGTGCGCGATGGCCATGGCGGGCACGGCTCCGCACGGCTGCGCTGGGCCGGGCTGCGCGGGGCCCGGCCGGGTTAGGCTGGGCCGGCCCCGCCCGGCTCCGCCCGGCTCGGCTCGGGAACGCCCCCGCAGCCCGGCCCGGCCCGCCCGCAGAGGGGCGGGGGGCGCGGAGCGGCGTCCTGAGGGTCTGGAGAGGGAGTGCGGCAGTGCCAGGAGCCCTGGGGGACACGGAACCGCAGAATGGCTGGGCTTTGAAGGGGCTTTAAAGATCATATATTTCCAGCCCCGCTGCTGTGGGCAGGAACGCCCTGCTCGGCCTTAAACGCCACCAGGGATGCAGCATCCGCAGCTTCTCTGGGCAAGCTGTGCCACCTGTGCTCCCATCCTCTCAATAAAGAATTTCTTCATGAAATCTATTCTAAACTCACCCTCGTTGAGTTTAAAGCCATTCCTCTTTCTCCTATCACTGCATGTCCTTGTAAAGTGTCATTCTCCCTCTTTTTTATAAGCCCCCTTAGGTCCTAGAAGGCCACAGTGAGGTGTGTCTAGAGCCTTGTCTTCTCTGGGCTGAACTCTCTCAGTCTGTCTTCTAGGAGAGTTGCTCCAGCCCCTGCACGGAGCATCTTTGTGGCCTCCTCTGGATGTGCTGTAGCATGTCCATGTCTTTCTTGTGTTGGGGGCCCCAGAGCTGGACACAGCACTCCACACAGGGTGTCAACAGACCAAAGCAGAGGGACAGAGTCACTTCGCCTGTCCTGCTGGCCACACTCTTTCTGATGAAAGCCCATGATGAGCTTAGTTTTCTGCATTCTCAGCACAGTTTGTTCATGTCCATCTTTTCATCCACAAGAACCCCCAATGAGAGGGGCTCTCCATGGGTTCTCCCAGTCAGTACTCATGTCTGTGGTTGCCTCAACGCAGGTACAGTGTTTGAATGGAGACTCCTTGTGTCAAGTTTGTGCCCATCAGCTCAGGTCATCTCACCAGGCATTGCTAAGAACAACCTGACTCTGTCCATGCTACTCCTCCATCAGCTGTTTGCACACACTGTGGAGAGCCCCTGAGGCACTTTCTCCAGGCTGGTGAGCCCCAGCTCTCTCAGCACTCATGGCCCCAACACAGTCTGACAGATGCTCCAAGCCCCCAACCTACCCAGCACCATGTACTGTGGCATTCTCTCCACCCATAATGTTTGATCACTGCTTTTCAGGTCAATTTTTTGGGGGAGGCACTGGGCACTGGGGTGCCTTCACCTTTAAAAACCCTTTATTTGTTTGCCCCTCTGTACATTTCCTGTTGGTTTCTGGACCTCTGTGAGCTTGGAGTATCCTCAGCCCAGAAGTGACATGTCCACCCCATGCAGAGCCACTTCCTGTGCTGTGCTTTCATGTAATACTCCCCCAGCTCACTGCTTTCTACAAAAAGGACAAAATATTCCCTCCTCCACTCAAATTCCCCTTTATAAAACTGATATCCTATCTGCTTTCAATTGTCCTTCCTATTTTTTTCCAAGCCATAAGCCAAGGAAATCATATGGAAACTGTTCTACAATAGCGATTCCCTTTCTTATTCTTTTTGTGCTGGTCTTGTGCTGCTTTGCTGGATGAGGCCAGGAGATTTGACTCATGCTGTGTACAAGATGCAGGTGCCCCAGACATTTATGTAATGGGACTAAGTGGTTTTCTGTTTTGCTCTGTTCTTAATTTGTACTGATTCCTAATATTTAATTGCCTTTCTGCCCACTGAACAACATTGGAGCTAATGTTGTCATTAAAGTATTACAAATCAAATCCCATTTCAGGGATGTTTAGACAGTATGATACACATAAGGGTAGGACTGCTTTTTACCACATGTAGTACTGTAAATGTATCAGTAATAAAATTTGTCCTTTTTTTCCCTGATTTTTCATGCTACATGTGCTTAAGATTGTCACTCAACTTGTCCACTCTTTTTCACAACACTTTAGTAAAATAGTGAAAAGCAAGGACAAGAATGTCATGTAGCACCCCCTGAGTAACTTTCAACATGAAAACTGACCACTTTTCACAGCCTTTTAACCAGTTATTTAACCTCCATGGACTCCTCATCCCATGGTGATTTCATTTCCTTAAGAAGCTTTAAGAAGACCTTCTCAAATATCTTATGGAAATGTAAGCAGGATATATTCATCCACATTTCTTGCCTATGCACTGAGTCCTTCAAAAACCTTCCTAATGCCCAATTTTTTTGTGGGGGAAAAAAAAGAAAGTATAAACTCTTCCATGATCTCTTCTGTTCCTTTGGACACTTTCCTGCTTTTGTTTTTAGAACAGTTTCAACTAGCTCCCATTGTGTGGCTGACAGAGATTTTAGTCCTCTGGAAAGTTTTTAAAGGTTGACCTTGTATTTGTCACCTTTCAAGCTTTTGGATTTAGGACAGTTCCCAGCTGCTACCCCACTTTATAATCCAGGTTTTTCATACTTGAGGGCCTGTAGCATTCCATGGAAAACATCCCTGCCTTGGTGACTTGATGTTCTGTTCATTTTGTTGCTTAACTCTGTTCCTGCCAGTGCTTCAGCCCAGCACAGATGCTGTCCTTCAACACAGGTGTCAGGGCACAGCTGGCACAGGGCTGCCTGCACCAGGCAGGCAATGGTACACTTGCTGCTTTACATTTTTTTTGTTGTTTCATGATCCCCTTGGCAGGCTGTGTCCCCTGGTCCAGCAGCAGTGATGTCCTGGGACCCTTTGGAGCCTTTGTTTTGGTTTCACAGCCACTGTCCAGCTGAGGAGCAGGACAGAGGAAATGAACTGGGCCAGAAGGTTCATACAAATAGCTGGGGGTTTTTATTATCAATGAAATCACTTTGGCAAACTAGTTTCTACAGTCAAAACATACTTATGACTCTGTTTCTAAAACAGCAGGTGCATTAGCTACCCTAGAAGTGAAATACCAAATAATTTCCTTTTGTAATAGTGCATTTTGAGTGATAGGCTTTAATTTTATATGTACACAGAGAGCTAAAGTTCTGCATGGACAGTATTTTTGCACAGAACAGGAGACCCCAATTTTAAAGTTTACAGGACAGGAAGATGAAAATATCTGTATTTGCCAGCTCAAATTGGAGGTTTTGAGTTGTTTATTGTTATGATGTAAAATCTATAAGGGCTCAGTCCTGCATTTCTACTTCATTTGTGTGCTTTCAAATGACTGAGGAAAACAAAGAAATTACTGAGAAACATCCAAGAACCTTCAACATATTGTTTGACTGGACACCAATGAAGGACACATTTAAGCTACAATAAGAGTGTTGCACAGTAAAATTTCCTACCTTTGAATATACTTTAAAGTACAGGAGTGGAAAAAATAAAATTTAAAAAACCAAACTAGCAACTTGAATTTACATTCAAAATCAAATTTGTGTAAACAGTTTTATAAAGGTTTTTGTCCTGGAATTCCTCTGCTAGAGCTATAGCAGGCATGAGCAGGCAAGAATAAACACAACCTAACAAAAAATTAGCTGTAAACATTCAAGTATCACTAAACATGTCCTGATTCTGTCTGTCTGCCTCGCAGAGCACAAAGATCATCCTCCTGATGGCTTCAGTACAGGTTGGGAGAGAGGTGTTGCTCAGTGCAAAGAAGAGGTACAGAATCAGGACCATAACAAGCAGCATTTACAAAGTCAGTCTCTTGGAGGTTGTTCAGAGCTAGATTTTTAGACATAAATAAAAGCTGTTAGAAACTAGCAGCAGGGGTACTGCTGAACCCATCACGTGCTAAAATTTATTTGTAGGTCTTCAAAAATCTGTCCCCGGTGCAAAGATTCCTCATTTAAAAAGGAAAAAAAAAAAAAAAAAAAAGACAATCACTTGAATGGTGGTGATTTCATTGAGCCAGACTTTGGGAAACTGCAGGGACTGGGAGATTTGCACCTGCTCTTTCAGAGGATGACAACTCAAGCCAGTCCCTGGTGGTGTTTATTTTCTAGTGTGAACCCCAAGTTTCTGCACAGAGCACATGGATGCCATTCTGCCTGCTCCTCACTCCTGTGAAAACCCAGTGGATGCCAAGAGGTGTGCTGCTCTGCTCAGCTGCCAGATTGGATCTTGGACAGAGCTCATCTGAACTCCAGAGGAGTGGAAATGGTGATGGGTGGTACCTGGCTCTTGGAGCTGAGCTCTACAGCTCGTGTTCACTCTTGTGAACACTGGCCATGGGGTAGGACTGTCAGCATATGCCCTGCTCCAGTTTTATTAGCAGCATGTTGCCTGGCAGTGTTAGGTTAATGGTTGGACTCAGTGATCTTAGAGGTGTTCTCCAAACTTAATGGTTTTATGGTTCTGTGTTGTGAAATCCAGTGAGTCCCTGTGAATGATATTAAAAGTGGGAATTTACAGGGAATCTGCCAGAAGTGCACTTTTATCATCCAGAGCTGTGTAATGGATTCTATTTCCTTGGTGGGTGATGAAGCAGAAGAAGATTAATGCTGTTGACAGTAGAACAAGTCCAATGCAAACAAAAGCTGCGAGTATCAGGCTGGCTTCTCCAGGACTCAAAGTTTTGCTGAAAAAATTGCCCACTTTGTTGTCATAATCTGTTAAAAGAGAGTTGTAATGAGAAATCTGCACATGAATCTGAAGAGTTTTAAATGGAATTTTAAAAAATCTTTACCCTTTGTAGTGGTTTCATTTGTTGCAGTAGTTTTATTGTATGTTCCAGTTGTGTGTCCTCCTTCTGAAGGAACTTCCCACTCTTGTTGCCCTTCTCAGCGTGAAAAAAAAGCATAGTTAAGTTGGAAACCTTAATAAATATTTCTTTTTTCTCTTTTGAAAAATTATTTCATTATTTCTACCTTGTTGATCTGAACAGAAATTGTGATTAGATCATCACAACTGTTCCTCTGGGCAGCTCCATGGGCAACATTCCCCTTCTCTGTAGGCATCTCTGTTACTCCACCACTTACTGTAGTGATGGGACAAGGGGTAACTTTTAAACTGAAAGAGGGTAGATTTAGGTGGGATATAAGGAACACATTTTTTATGAGGGTGGTGAGGCACTGGCACAGGTTTCCCAGAGAAGGTGTGGATGCCCCATTCCTGGAAGTGTGCAAGGCCAGGCTGGATGGGGCCTTGAAGAACCTGGTCTAGAGCAAGGTGTCCCTGTCCATGGCAGGGGGGTTGAAACAAGATGATCTTTAAGGTCCCTTCCAACCCAAACCATTCCGTGATTCAGTTCTGCATTTGCTTGTCCATTTGAAATCTCACAGCCCACATGAATATGTGTAGTCAAATAAATTAATGATATCCAAGGAAGAAGTATTTTGGCTATATTTGGCATCTACATTTGTCATCATGCTGCTACAGGGTTACAGGTATGAGGTGTGCCTACTGGCACTGTTTCAACTCTTGTAGAGGAGTATAGCGAGCACAGTGAGGACCTAGATACTGGATCCAGATGTTTAGTGAAGTAATGTGATGTGGAGATGCTCAAAAAACACTTTCAGCTTCACTCACATGTGTTGGAAGAGACAAGCACCACTCAAAAGCTTGTCAACTTTTCTTAGTCAAGAGATCACCTATTTCTTGGACAAGTTGAACAACCATTTTCTGGAGCTCCTTTTATCCCAGCTGGTATCTGCCTGTGCAGGGAGGAGCCCAAAGAGCTCTACAAGTCATCAGGGCTCACAGGGAGGAACAAGCACCATGCCAGACTGAAGGCTCTGTACAGTGAGGCAAAAAGGTTGAACAACAGCTTTGCAGATGTTTTCTGTGCCACCTTTAAAGGACAAATGGTCCCTAGGCTGCCACTGTCTCAGAAGAGCACTAGTGAAGCACCAACTGATTTCAAGTTGCAGCAAAGTGCACCAAAGATTGCCATGTCACTCGGGGTGTTTGTCCTGTCTCTTATCACTGCTAACTGGCCATGGCAGTGCAGGTGCTTCCCACCAGTGCACAGGTGAGCTCTCTTCCTTTTGTCCCTGCCTTCCATCTGATTGTGCTGCAATACCACCTCTGAGTCCTGGGATGTTTCTGATACTGCACCTGATTTATTGATGGTGTAGGTTGTCTCCATGCCAGCATGGATGTGATCGGCCACGTGGCAGTGCAGAAGCCACGTCCCAGGGTTTTCTGCTACGAGTTCAACTGTCTGGAAAGTCCCAGGGAAAAGGTCATATACATCTCCTCTGTGGTCCTTATCTGTCTGTGGCAAAGCAAAACCAGAATTGTGAGAGTCATGCCTCAAATACTCCCCCATGGGCACTGAAATATTCCAGTCAGAATTCCAACTCCTTAAGGTAGATCAAATGCTTCTTGTACATTTCTAGTGAGCATCATCCAGAGAAACTGAGGTGTGTGGACACATCATTTAATCCATTATACAACAGCTTCTGTTGACTCCAGCTTTTGGCTGAGCAAAGGTGTTTCTTTGAAATATTTTTCAGGTAGTCCTGCCAGTGGCAAACTGTCACAGCATAAAACCATACTCTAACCCAGCATAACTCTAATTTCCTCCCTGTATTTTCCCTCACACCTATGGGTAATCATATATTTTAACCCACCTAAGCATGTCCTCTACTAGGGTAATAGAAGCTTTGCAAGTATCTCATTAATTTTGTATTTCCTTCAAATGCAAAACTCCCACCCACCTCAGCACCAGCCCAGGGCTCTGTGCCTAAGTGACAAAACCAGGCTGGAAATATGGATTTTTTTTGTTTGTTTTTCTCAGAAATTTCCCATAATACTATAAAAGTTTTACTTTGATTTATTTTACCAACCTTGAAGATGAAGGTCTGCGCATGGAAGTGAACTGTGTGGATATCCACTTCATTGCCCATTCCTATCAAATACCAGTTTGTCCTATCACCTTCGTTCATCGTTAGACCCAAGAGACTGTTGTAAATCTTCCCATTGATTGCTGGAAGAATGACAAAATAGGAATGATTAATATTTGGCCAGAGTATGGGTGATTATAACCTCTACTTCAGGCACCCTTTGCACTTTCAGGGTAGAAGGAGTGCTCAGGCAGAGAGGGGACAGGCATGTGTGGTCAGGACATGTGCTGTCCCCAGCGACCACTGCCACTGCAGAGAGACAGTCATGCTTTTGTTTCACTTTCCAAATTGTGTAAGTACACATCAACAAACATTTTTCTGTCTTACAGAGCATCAGACTGTTTTTTTACTGGTTGAGATTGAACTCCTGAGCAAACTGGATTTATGCTGAGAAGCTACATGGAAAAGGAGGGAATAGAATTGTTGCCTAAAATGGGTACCAGCTGTAGAAAGAAAAGTTTGCTTTGCCAGGGCTGTGTGTGTCCCCATCCAGTCTATTCAGCCTGGCTCCTGGACTGGCTGCAAATACAGCCACAGTTTTAAAATATCATCCCTATGCTCCTAAAAAACAAGCCTTGGAGGAACACAGCTCACAAGTGACAAGGGAATCCTGGCAGGGCAGCCTCTTCCCAAAAGTATAAGAGTAAATTATCATGTTAGAAAAATATCTTGGCTGGGCCTTGTGAAATCTCTTTGTTTCCAGCATTGCAGTTTATGAAGTTGTCACATGGCTGGGTAACTGCAGGCTGAGTCCAATGTCTCCCTAAAAGGGCTGTGAAAAATAAACCTCTTTCCTCTTGGCTACTGCTGCTGAGCCCTACATACCATGCATGCTGTTGCCTTCTTCAAAGTTCTCAGTGGAATTAAAATCATCAGGATTCTTATGAAGGTATCTTTCAATATTTTCTTTCAAATACCAGGATTCATTTTCATCGAACACCATAAACAGAAGAGTAAATTCACGATCAATGTCTTTCCTCAGACCTCTTTCATCTAAAGTTCCTTTTCTGCAAACTACAAGAGGCCCAATCAGACCACTGTACGTGTCCTGAAATAAAATAAATATATGCATCAGAGATTTTCAATTCATCCAGTTATGAAATAGATACAGATTAATTGAAGATTAAATTGCCTTTTCCTATCAGATGAGAAAAAATCAGTCCAATTAAAAACTTCTTCCTCTGTGTGTCTCTCTGTTAATTTACCAAAACAATGACATCCAGTGGTCCCTTTCAACCTTACTCGTTCTGTGATTCTGTGATTTTGTGCAATGTTTTGTGTTTACCCCAAATCTCTTCAACTGTTCTTTAAGGAGGAAATCATATTGCTGTGGTGTATGCCTTGGGATTTCTGTAGCTTAAATTACCCAGGCATGCGCAACTGTTGGTAAAGAGTTCAAAGCATCTAGCTCTGTAAAGGGTGTCTCTAGCCTGTGGTCCTCTCCCAGCTGAGAAGCAGAATCCTTTCATAAACATTACACAAGGCATCACGTGTTAGCCAAAGCAATGCAAGCTTTAATGGCCATTTCTTGGTTACCTTAACAAAATTTGCTGTTGAATAATAAACCCAAGTGATACAATTTGGATCTGTTTTGCCAGGACCGGATCGTTCTGGGACGTTCCACCTGTAGGTGTTTATTTCCCCTGAAAAAGAGAGAGAACAATTTTACCTTGAGCAGCTAAGTATTAGAGTCTCTGAATGGTATCTAACTCAGACCTCCTACCCTCCTCATCAAAAAACTGTCTGCATCAAAACTACCTGTGGAAGCATGCAGCAATGGGATAGGGATATGATTCGGCCTTCCAGGAGGTCAGTGAGGTTCCAGTGGTGTAAGTGAAGGCAGATTGCTCCAGAAAAGATCTGCAAATGATTCTGACAAAAGTGGCATCCCACAGAAGGAAGTTTACAGACAGGACTCTTCATCTTTGCCCTTGGCAAAACCTGCAGTAATTCAATGATCTCAGCTGCTGATACTTAAGATCAGATGAGGCACTGGGAGCCAAGCCCAGAAAATGTTTCTTGGACCTTCTCAATTGAAAAGGGCAAAAAGAAGTGGCAGTTGCCACTGGGATTTTGCAGGGGGTGCTGCAGAAGTGTGTCAGCTGGGGGCCCGGATAGGAGAGCTGGATATGTACCAACCTGCTGTCAGGGGGGAGCAGGGGGGGTCTTTCATCTTCCAGATAAGACCTTGCTCCACAGCAATTACCAGAGAACCTCTATCCCTTCCCAAATGTCATCATCTCTGCCACATCCTCCCTGAGCAGAAATTCCCTGACCTCTGATTTTAAAAAAATCATAATGAATGGATGAAAAAATGATCTGTTTGGGTGAGGATCATTTCTCTGCACCGAACACAAATATCTGTGTTCAGATGAAATGCCTATGCTGTGTTTCCCTGCTTTGCTTTTTTGCTGGTACTTCAGGAAAGAGTAGAAGACCAAGATGTGGTCAACACCTTGCCCTTTTAAGTGGTGGAGAAATGTTGAACCAAGCAATCTCTGTCCCAAAAGTCTTTCAGGGTGACAACAGCCAAGAGCATTATGGGACATGCTATGAGTCAGGTTAAAACCAGGAAATCACAGAACCATGGTTTTAGTACAGCTACAGCCCAACAGCTGCCAATGGCTGTGGGCATCTAGGCAAGGAGAGTTTTCAAGCTCAAAGGGTTGGGAAATGACTGAGTCTAGCTTTTGTGTCACTGAGCCACTACACTGTTCATGCATCATGCAACAGTGGGTTTTAATTGTACAGTAGCAACTACAAAAACAAAAAAGTGATGACTTTCAACTCTCATACAGTATGAGATGGGTCTCATGTAAGTATTGCAATATCATTTACTCTTACAGGATAAGCATCATGTCATGGAGACATGGAGGCCAGGGAAATGTTTCTCATCCACCTGTATCTAACCTACATGTCATCACCTCTTTTTAGAAGGTGTGATCTGAGAAGCGAGGCTGGTTGTGGTCCTCCACCCCTTCCTTACTTTTTCCTCCTCAGCTCAGGATGTTTGGAGGCTGTGGATGGAAAAAAATCTCCACCCTACTTAAAGCTGACACACTTCAGAAGGCATTGAAGACTGAAGTTCAAATAAGGCATAACCCCTGGAAAAAAGCTATAAACATGAGAAAAATTGATGTTTTCTCCCTTTTTTCCTTCTGGGTAATTGGAAGAATGGCCGGGGAGAGAACAAAGCTGTGGCAGATGAGAGCTGGTCTAGCATAGGTTGCTATGGATATGCTTTCTTCATCTATTTACCATGCCCCCCACAGGTTCTTTAGGACCCGGCAGTGCTCTCAGGAGCACAGTTTGTCAGGATGCAAATCTGTCTGATGACTGATTTAGGATTTAGTAGAATTAGACAGTCTTTGGTAAGTTTGGGGTGAGCAGTCCAGCCTGGCCTAGGAAGAAAGACAGTGAGGATTTCTAGGTGATGCTGGTGGGGACTGAGGTGCCCAGAAATTTTTCTTATTTTCAGGGATTTCATTTCTATGTCAACTGCTCTTTCCAAACTCCTAAGGAAAAGTCAGTCCTTAGATCCTGTTGAAGAATGATTTTGGCTTACTCTCAAACAGAGACCTTCCCTCATCTAACTCATCCCAAGCCTGCTCCCATGTGGACACAGGAGACATGACAGTAGTGTTCCCGTTGCTACATTTCAAACGCCAGCCTAACAGTGTCAACATCATCATGGAGCAAATTACAAAACAAAGGAATTGTATATAAACCAGTTCCTTTTCCTTCCCCTCCCCCATGTATTAACTTCAGGTATACATTCATCAAACTGCAGCAAGGCAGATGCTGGCTCACATTTGGACATGAGTTTCTGTGTATTTGTATTTTACCAGCACGGCTGTTCACAGGAAAGAAATTTCAGCTTGCAAAGAGCTTTATTACATCAAATTTTCTTTACATTTAGTTTCACACTGGAGTTCACAAATACTGCCAAAAAAATTTGCATGGGTGTTGGAAAGCAAACGTGGGTACATTTTGGATTGACTGCTATGCCTGGGTTTGATTTCCTACTTAGAATATAAATCCAATAAAAAAATTGAAGTTCAAAAAGTTAAACAGGAATAAAACAGGAATTAAACAGGAATTTTTCTATATGAAAAACTATTATCTACTGTTTTCCTCACTAGAAACTGAGGCGTATTTGGTACACTTTTCAAAGGTTATTAATTCACATGACAGCTACGTTTGGCATTTTATGCATGAGTCGGAATGCAATGCCAATTCTCTGTAGCTTGAGAGAGGCAGAGTTAATATTAACATCTGCAATTCTTACCTCTGAATTTGAAAGTTTTTAAAACATTGTTAGAGTGTCAGTTTGGAGCCAAATGCAGCACTGGCTTACACTTCTCTTGCCATGATTATGGGCCTGCTTCTCTCTCTTTTGGAGGTTGTGTAGTGGTTTTACATTCCTGTTTCTACCCCTGATAGGAATGAAGGCTTATTCTCTGCCCAAACATGCTCACTTGGTCAAGAACCTACATGTCTAGAAACCCAGAACTGTAGCTGAATAAGCATTGAGCATATTGTGCCTGGGAGAACATATAGATATGGGCAAGTTTAAAAGAGAGATTATCATTAATGTGCTAAAATGCTTTTATATACAGCCTTTGTAGCTCAAAGAAAAGAAGAGGGGAAAAAAGAAAAAAAGGGAGCCTTACCAGGGAGGGTAATTGGTGTCTCAGGCTGTTCTTCACAACCAACCTCTTCTATACCATGTGCACTTACTGAGTAAGGCCTGCTGGCTTTGTTCTTAAATACGATCAGTACGGAGTCACCAACCTCGGCGTGGAGTAGTGGCCCTGAATTCAAACAGGAGATGCCAGTGTTTAATGCTGCTTTTCTGAATTCAACAAACTTTCAATAGCTTGGCCTGGGAGTAGAGCCAAGGTCTCTATCAAAATCATTGGGCTTTTCTATTCTTCCAGGAAAGCCATCAAAATTGTTTTATCTCAGCTGATTAAAAGCTCCGTATGTACAAATAATCCCTTTTCAGTCAATGAAGAGAATTGTTCTCTCTGAAGACGGGTCTTTGAACAGCTGTTTTTTAAGGAAAACTCCTGAGGATGACTTTTGAATCTTTCAAAATTTTACTGTCCTTCAGAAAAGGAAATTGTAAACATATTCCTAGAGAAGGTTATCCTGAGGGAAGAGTACGAAACTGTATCAGGAGAGGCTTAGTTTGAGTATTAGGAAAAGGTTCTCCACCCAGAGGATGGTCAGGCACTGGAACAGGCTCCCCAGGGAAGTGGTCACAGCACTGAGCCTGACAGAGTTCAAGGAGCATTTGGACAACACAATCAGGCACAGGGTGTGAGTCATGCAGGGCCAGGAGTTGGACATTGATGATCTTCCAACTCATGATATTCTAGAATTCTATGACTATTTTATGACCAGTTGTTGCCTGCTTTTCACCCCATAAAAAACCTGAACTGATGGTTATTTTACAATGGGTAAAATTATGTCTTGCCAATTGCAAACACAAATCCATCTCCTTAATATTGTCTTAATCTGTTTACAAGTCTCCCCCATGTTACAAGCTCTGAAGCTAAAGTGAATCCCAGAATTGCCATTATAGCACTCCTTAGGATACTCCTTATTCATATTCAAGAATTAATCCTTTAATTTGGAAAGGATCTTTACACTCAGCAGTTATATAAATTGCATGTAAAATAACTGACACCTGGAATAGGCGTCACTGTTCCATATTTTCCATCTTAATAAAGCTAGAAAACATCTTAGTTTTTGGAAAGCAATCCTCTCCCTGAGCACAGGCTTGGTCTGTGAGACATGAGAGCTACTTGCCCAGGATTTCCAAGTGTTCCTCCTCTTCTGTCCTCGCTCTGCGCTGTGTGAAGTTGCCACTTGTGTACTCCCTGTAAACCACCTTCTTGTATTTTGAACCAATCAGATCCTCTGCTTGGCCCAGAAAAACATGCCCATAGCTGCAAAATAAAATGCAATAAAAGCACTAAAGTGTACATAGCTGAAAGCTAGTAACTTTTGTGCTATTCACAACAGATTCAATGAGAATATACAGCTTGATCCAATGTGCTGATGGATGTGAAGGCCCTGAGAGATGCAAGAGGTTTTGAATAGCAAATAGCAAGAGTGATAATCCTTACTGAATGCACAGCCTCCTCAAACAGGTAAAGCTGAGGATAAGATGCACTCTCCAAGAATTTTGAAAACACAAATCCTTCACCAGAGCTGGAGTAGGGGTAAAGTGTGAGATGAGAGTGGTTTCCGCTGCCCTCTCCAGCTGCATTGTTCACTCCAATAACAGATACTGCCTGTCCCTGGAAACCTGAATCCTCTTATCGTGTGGCTGCTTTTGCTATCTTGGCTATTAGCCACGGGAAGATGATAAACAAAGCTTGACCTTTGAAAACAAATGCGATCCATCATCTGAGATAAGAGGGAGCTGCTTTACCCTTCCCTCTTGCTGCTGTGCACTGCACAGGCTGGATGCTTTCCCAGCATGATGATAAAAGGAGAAATGTATTTTCATTCTGCAAGGGGAAGAGGATGCTTTCCAGGTTTCCCTAGTGTGTTGCTGCTCCCATGGGATCCCAGAGGGCTGACTCGCCGGCAGAGGACACTCACAAGCCGCTGTGCAGCTGAGCCTTCACCCTCTCTGGGAGCAGCTGCCTCCTGGCAGCTCATCTCCAGGGTGCCCCTGGCAGGGGAGTTGCAAGGCTGGTTCACAATACACTAAATAAAACCAAAAAACTGCCCCAGGGATACTGCTCACTGTGTACTGAGCTGTGCAACAGCAGCCTTTGACAGTAGTGGAGTTTATGTTTTCTTTAAACTGACATCATCACCTGTGATTCCTCAGGTGTATTTTTTTACAGACTTCTCTTCCTCTGTACCAGGAGCACTTTCACAGATGCTTTGCTAAGGTTTATTTTTGACATAAGTTCCTTTTTGCTTTCACCAAAGTGTCCTCAGAGACAAGTCTGTCTAATATGATCTGAAATGTGTATTTTTTTCCCAAGTTTTTTATTCCTCACACAGTAGAGTGATTCAGTTGCAGGGTTACTTATGTTCTGATCTTCTCAGGGGATCTAGGGGCTACCATGGTGCAGGAAAGCAGACTCAGCACCCCCATCATGCATTTGCATTGCCTACAGGAGCTCACATCTGGAACAGGTGTCTGACTTTCTCCTCTATGAAAACCAGAAGTCTGGGATGGCAAGGCTGGGGAGAGTAAGGGAGAGAAGAGGGTTGGGGGCAACATTGTAAGGTTGAGCCAGGGCTGGAGCACAAACTTGGAGGCCTTCTTGAATTCAACAGCATTACAAGACAGTCTGAATGAAAGCATTTGAAACTGGTGCCTATGAACTGGTCTAGACTGAGAGGCTGTGACTTTGTAAATACATTTTCTCATTATCTTTGGCGAAGAGTTCCTCCTGAAAATACAAGGTTGGTGTCATGAAATGGTGCTTCAAAGTTTCCCCTCCACTGTGAGTGTGTTGTGTGCCCACAACTGTTTTTTGGGTTGGGTACCTTTCCTCATAGCTGCTGATGTTGTAAACCTTTGGTGCTGAGCTCTTATTTGAGGCATAGTCCCACTCCACCTCCTCTGCAGCAATGTAATAGACCCTCATGGCTCCACGCTGCTGCTGGGCTCTGCTGGGGCTGCGGCAGCTGCTGACCTCGTAGAGATGCTTCATCCCACCAACAAAGTGATCAAAAGTCCTGCAAACCACTTTGAATGTGCCTGGAGAGAAAAGCACATGGCATTTAAGCAATTAAAAAACCTAACAAGCATCTTGGCAAATTAGGTCCTGTGTACATCTCTGATCTGTCCTCAGATAATCCTAATGTATAATGCTGTGTGGAAAGTCAAGCAAGAGGATGTTTAAATAGAATGATAGAATATTCTAGGCTGGAAAAGACCTCCAAGATTATGAAGACAGCCATTAACCCAGCACTGCCAAGTCTACCACTAAACCATGTCCCTAAATGCCATCTCTACAATCTTTTAAATTCATCCAGGGATTGTCACTCTACCACTTACTGGGCAGCCTGCTCCAAGGAACTGAAACTCCCTGATGCAACCTGAGGTTATTTCCTCTTTTCCTGTCACTTGGTACCCCTTGGGAGAGGAGACTAGCACCCAGGTAGTTATAGAGAGTGAGAACAACCCCTCTGATCCTCCTTTTCTTCAGGCTAAACACTCCCTCAGCCACTCCTCACCAGACTTGCTGCTCCAGACCCTTCCCCAGCCCTGTTGCCCTTCTCTGGACACACTCCAGCTCCTCAATGTCCTTCTTGTATGAGGGGCCCAGAACTGGACACAGGATTGGAGGTGTGACCTCACCAGACCTGAGTACAGGGGAAAATCCCTGCCCTGGTCCTGCTGGCCACACCATTGCTGATCCAGGCCACGATGCCATTGGCCTTCTGGGCCAGCTGGGCACACCCTGGATCATGTTCAGCTGCTGTTGTCCAGCATCTCCAGGTCCTCTTCTGCTGAGAAGTTTCCCAGACACTTTGTCTGCAGCCTTTGGCATTGCATGGGGTTATTGTGAATCAAGTGCAGGACCCAGCGGGACTTGACCTTGTTTTGCTCCATAGGAAAAACCAGCCTGCTCCATCTTTGCTCAAAAATCACCATAAATTACTTCTAACTATTTGAGTTAGATCAGCTTGGCCAAGGACACTCTGAAAAGCACTCAGATGTCTGGCAGCAGGAATAAGCTTGCCAGCAAGCCTCACTGCCAGCGAGCCCATGCTGCAGACATGCCCACGAGGAGCACAGGAAGAGGAGGAGGAAGCACTCATTGCAAAACTCAGTAAAGGCATGGAGAAACAAGGGGTGTGTTTCAGAGATGCTGGTTCCTTGTCCCTGAGCACAGAGCCACGTTACCATCCTTCAGTGCAAGGGACTCTCCACAGAGCCCCTGCAGTTTCTCTGGTGTAGTCAGGCTGAAGAAAGGCTCTGCAATACAGATGCAGTCCCACGATACAGGAATGCCTGCTTATAACCATTTATCTATTTGCACAGTTGAGATAAACTGGGACCTTCTGACCCTTTGCACTCCCTCCATGAAAGGCCAAGCCACCATCGGCCCTTTTTTTTGGTGGCTCTGGTGGTCAAAGATGGTAGTGATTAAGGAAGCATATTTTGGCTTGTTCATGGGCAGATTTTAATATTATACTCTCCTTCTCTCCTGCCCATTTACTCAAGCAGAAGCTGACTGTGATGTTGTCCTGTACAGCTCCACCTGCTAGCACTGTGTGAAGGAGGAAAGCACTTTCACAGCTGCTTTGTATGTGAGTCAGTGATAGAATCAAAATTAGAAGCATAGCCCTGTCCAGACTAGATCTCAGTCTATTTCTTGCACCTCAGAGGCAATAGTGATTAAAGAGATAAAATAATATGTAATTAAAATAAAATCACAAGCATTGACGATTGTAAAGATCTGATAATTCATTCAATTTCTGTTATTGCTGGTAGAAGGTTAGCCAAAAAATAATAATCTCTTAGAATAATTTTTTTGTGTGAGATCTACAATGCAGTTTCATGACAGATGGTGGAAATGTTTAGGATTTGTGTTAGAAAAATTTCAGTTGTCTTACAGCATCTGCAACAGAGGTCTAACCTGGCACATACACAACTCCAATGTACATTTCTATCAGGTGCCCTGGCCATGGATGGCCCTTGGCATAGCTTTATACAACCCTGATGACTCTATTAATTTAAACAGAGTTGCATCAATGCAAAGCAAGGTAATGTTGTACTTTATATGATGAAAATTATTTGGTGTCTCCAGCAAACAACTCACACTCTCCTGGTTTGAAGTATGAATCACTGGATTACCCATGAGATTTAAAAGTACTTTTAATGTATAAGCTTCTGAAGAAACTCCTAAAGACTGACTATTACTGAAAAGCCTTTGTTGAAGTCCTAAAATACCTTAAGTGGTGCTGACTATCCACATGGCAGTGAACTTGCTTTTCTAAAAAAGTCTGTTTGGAGAATTATGAAATTCTATGAGCATCCTGTTAGCTATCTCTCTGCCTGCTGCTCTACCTATCCCTAAGTCATTAAAGCCTCTGGTTTTTGGTGTACATGAATATATACACCTTCCCAGAAAAGTAATCCAGCCTGAATTCTCAGCTATGACAGGTTGCCAGGGTCTCTTTCCGTGCTTTCAGCCTCCCTGTGCAGGGCAGAGCATCTCACTGTCTGTTATTTAGGCTCACTGGTATCTGCAAGTGCCACACAACCAAAATCAGTTCATGAACATACCCACACGGTCTGGCTGCATTAGTGCTGTCCCTGATAAATGAGGAAACAAGGCCAGCCCATCCCTTGTTGTCCCTCTCAAGTCGATGGTGTTTCCTTGGAAATGAACCCCGTGCATGTCGTAGTGACTGCCCAGCCCAATGAGGTGCCAGGAGACCTTGTCATTCTTGCACATGGTCAGGCCTGGCAGATTGCCATACAAGTAGCCATTGACAGCTGGAGGAGAAGGAAAAAGTCAAGGTTAGCAGCAGGTCCACAAGAATGCATTACAGAACCTCCTACCACCCACCTGGCCAAAGACTCATGACTCAGCAAGTCACTAAAGGGGCATTTTGTGAAGAAAAAGTAGGATTGGATGACACCAAATTAACATCTAAGTGCTATTCCTATAAACTCAGAACTTCTACCTCTTTGGTTTTAGCCTGTAAAATCTTGTAATAGCTCTCTGCTATTGTGATGTAGCACTCCTCCTCTGAGCTTTTGAGCTTACCTCCCAGACACCACTCAAGTGTACAAATTTGGTACCTCCTTTCAGCCTGGAGAATTAATAACCACATCATTAAGGCTATGGAGAGGGCCATAAAGAGTCTGAGTTACAAGGGTAAGGCAAAACTCCCTAATCCTCAAATTGTTCTCTGTGATCAATGTGTGAAAGATGCTATAAAAGAGCAAAACTTCGGTATGATTAGTTCCATCTCATAGAAGAAGAATAAAATAGACAGGCCCAGAAAGCCCCAGAGTTCTCTAAAATATATATATCTAAAGCAAAGGTAGGTTATGTGATTTGCTCAAGTCTGTCATCCCAGGGGTACCTTGGAGGAGATCCATGCTAAAGTCAGATACTTACATCCAGAAATGATGTTGTAAAATATTTTTGGCCATTCCCCTAGTCTTTGTGTCTCCTCTTCCAGAGGTAGTCATTGCCCAGCAGGGCAGGTAGATTTTACTGCATGAGTCAGTGCCAAGGCCAGCAGTGAAATTTAAAACACTAGTGAACATTGGCTTCTTCTGCACCTGTCTCTGGCATTGTGCCTTTTTACAGAACTCAGTATTGTATCTAAAATCACTGCTCTGTTCCCTTTTTCCAGATGTATTTGTAGATGGATGCATTCATTGCCATTGTGACTGGAGTTTCAATGTGCACTCCAAGGGCATCAGGAGCTGGCCATAAGCTGACTGACAGCTTTTCAGCTCACTCTCCAGTGCAGTGCAGAAAGCTATGAATGATGATAAAACCTGCCAACTCATCTTCCTAATATGATTGAATAAAAGATATCATTAACAGACATTAGATATTTTGTACCATGCATTTTGTTGGATTCCATGAAATCAGCATCATTTTCATCCACTTTTGTTGGGTCTCCAGTAAATGATTCAATATTCTTGTTCAGATACCAGCTGTCATTCTCATCAAAGATTGAAAAGAGGAGGTAAAATTCTCTGTCTATTCCTTTCTGTAGACAAGGAGGAAGACAAGACATAAAAAAAAGTCTATTCAATAAAAATGAATAGGTTTTTATAACAAAACTTTCTTTTCCCTGAAGCCACCTTCTTACTAAGACTGCACAGAGACAGGAATTGGCACCTTTTCATCAGCCAGCAGGATGAATAGAGTGTCCTTTACGGGGTGTGAAAAGAGTTATTATTTGTAGAGAGCTTTTTGGAGAATTGGTTAGCTGAGAAAGGACATTCCGATGTGATACCGATGGATAAGGGTAAGAGAAACAAGCTGGGAACTGAGCAACCGGTGCCTAATTACTGACGAAGGTCACAGTGACCTTCTCTAAAACGGGAAGACGGGGGAGAAAATTGCTTGCCAGAAAATGTAGTTATCCCAAGGTAGAGAAATTAGAAGAATGTACACATAGAAGCAAAATAATTGTTAAGAGATAGAAGTAGGTGTGTTTGATTATAGTGTGCTTTAACCAATAATGAGCTCAGATTTTGCAATATGCATAAGCTTCATTAACACTAATATAAAAATGTGTAAGCTTTCAATAAACTTCGAGATTTGCTATTCATCGCATATGGTGTGTCGCATCTCTCCCGCCGTTACGACAAATGGTGACCCCGACGTGATACCTTCGGGACTAGCCACGGTCGGAGGCGTAAAAGTCAAGTTCAGGTCCTATCGCAGCCGAGGACGGCAATAAGCACCGCTGAAAAAGGGAAGGTGCCGGCCCCGGGCGACCTGATAGCAGGGCCCGGCTGATACGTGCTGCCGAAGCTGGAAAAGGGCTGCAAGAAGCGCGCAATCGTCGTTGAAATGGATAAAGACAGGCAAGCAGCATATGATTTATTTACTGACTTTTTACGAGGGCGTCAGATTAGAGGGATAGATTTACAGAAAGAACTTCCTGGGTTGTTAGCTTATGGGTGTGCACAGGTGTTTTTTCGTAATCCGCATACAGTGCATGAGTTGTCGGAATGGAGTATATTCGGAGATAAGCTGTGGCGTGCAATCATAGATGAGGATAAGACCGCGAAAGAGTTGGGAAATTTATGGCGAGTCGTGCATGCTGAATTCTTGAAATACCAGGCGGAGGAAAGAGCTGCCCAGCAGACTAGCGTAGCCCGTGAAAGAAACAGGAGTTGCAGAGACTGGTTTGGGTCCCCACCGATACAAGCTCCTGCTCTAAAAAGCAGCTCCCTGCAGCTATCGGCTTCTGCCGCGGGCAGCAGGCCCCCCGCGCGTATTCCAGCCGTGCCGTCCGCGCCGCCTGCCCCGGTGTTAAACCCTGCACCGCCTCCGCCTCCTCCCGCTCCGGACCCGCACCCTCAGCCTCCCTGCCGCAGCGCGCAGCCCGCAGCCGCCCCGCCGGAGAGGCTCGTGCCGGCCCCGGCCCTGGGCGACTCAGCAGCTGCAGCACGGCTGCCTCCCGCTCCGCAGCCGCCAGCACCGCTCCGCAGCCGCCCCGTCCCCGAGCCGAGGGGGGGGCGGCAGGACGGGCCTTCCACCCCCCGTGGAGCAGCGGGCTCCGGGACGTCCGCCCGCCCCGCGGCTGCCCGCAGCTATCACCACTTCGGCTAAACCTGCCTTCAGCCCGCAACCGCCGGGAGCCTCAGAGTAGACCTAGCAACAGCAGCAGACAGTGAATTTGGTGACTGTTCACCCACAAAAGTCCCAACGAGAGTAAAGAGACCACTCATTATTGATAGATTATCTGTGAGAGTTTTACTTTTAAGACATTTCTCGGCTACAGTGTTAAGATTGTTTGTTTTATCTAGAATGATGGACGCTGGCTATGTAGGGGAGAGTTCTATTATGCTGTATATTCTTTTTCCACCTATGCGAATCGAGCAATGAACTGTTAGATGCACTTTGACCTTTGTTAAAGGGAACTAATCCAGCACAGCCTGTTCGTATAACCCCTGAACGGGCTGGAACACTGCAGCAGATATTGGTCTGTGTTACACAAGGCAGTGTTCAAAGACGTGATTTTGATCTCCCTGTACAGCTGACAGTTTGGTGTGGACAAAAATTTTTTACTGGGTGCACTTACTTAGCATAACAGAAAAACGGGGGAGATATGGGCCTTGGAATGGATATCTCCTCCACTTCAACAACATAAAACTCTTTTTCAGAAAATTGACATTTTAACTGATTTGCTCAAAAAAGGTCGTGATAGGACAGTGGAGTTAGATTTAATGCCCAAAAAGATCACTAAAGCCCTTATCGGATGCTATAACTGCTTACACAGATGCAAGGGGAAAATCAAAACAACTGTTACTCATTGTATACATTTATATGTTTAGAAAACTGGACTGGATGTCATGTAACATTTAGAATTATAATTTAACCTGAATGTTAGTTTGCACAAAAAAAACAACTCCCTCCAAACAACAAAAACAACAAAACTCTCACTCAAAACAGATACTAAAATATATAATAGACTTCCAACCATAATAATAATATTATTATTATTATTATTATTGTGGACAATTTTGATAAATAATTACCAAAAAGAATATGTTCATCCCTACTGTTTAAGCATCAATTGACTTTTAAAACATAAAGCATAAACACTGATGTTTGAGGCCTAGAAAACATTCATTCTATTGTTTGAATAATGATTTCAGTCTACAGGAAAACTGTTGCTTAACTTTTCCTGTAACATCGAACAAAGAGTATTTTGTACTTAGTTGTTATCCTTTTTCTTTGTCCAAGTGAGAACACAGTATGTCATTTAAAATATTCTCTCATTTAATTTACATTTTAATCTGAAAGAGAATATGAGTTTAAAAAATCATATCACAGCATTAACGTCCCTTTGTACTTAGAAACATATTTCTTGTACCTGTTCAATTTAAAGCAAACCTGCAATACTCTAAACACCTGACTCGACTTGTAACTTCTCCATCACTTCTTATATTTTTTTCCCTCTGAAAATAACCAGTGTGAGCTGTAGCTTGTCTCACATGTGTTAAGTTCTTCACTGGCTTTGCATAAGGAGATTCACAAGCACATGAGTTATTCTACACTGCTTATTTGTCTCAAATATCCGATCTAAAACACATCATCTGATTTGTATTTCTTAATATTTTATAGGTGAGTTAGTTCTGAGTTATTTTTCTCTGTTTCTTGTGTTTAACCAAGATGCTGAAAGACTTTGTTGATACGTTAGACTTCACTGAAACAAAGGCTTCACACAGATCAGGCCTTGGTATTGATGGATGGCTCAAATCTTTAAACTTAAGATCATGGTTATGTTCACTTATTAAGGTTAGCATTGTAGTAGCTATTGTAGTTTTGCTGTTAGTATTAGTTTTGCCTTGTTTTTGTATATGCTTATAGAATATGGTGAGAAAGATGATAACTACTGCATTTAATCAAACTATGCTTGTTCAACAGAAAAACAGGGGAGATGTAGAGAGCTTTTTGGAGAATTGGTTAGCTGAGAAAGGACATTCCGATGTGATACCGATGGATAAGGGTAAGAGAAACAAGCTGGGAACTGAGCAACCGGTGCCTAATTACTGACGAAGGTCACAGTGACCTTCTCTAAAACGGGAAGACGGGGGAGAAAATTGCTTGCCAGAAAATGTAGTTATCCCAAGGTAGAGAAATTAGAAGAATGTACACATAGAAGCAAAATAATTGTTAAGAGATAGAAGTAGGTGTGTTTGATTATAGTGTGCTTTAACCAATAATGAGCTCAGATTTTGCAATATGCATAAGCTTCATTAACACTAATATAAAAATGTGTAAGCTTTCAATAAACTTCGAGATTTGCTATTCATCGCATATGGTGTGTCGCATCTCTCCCGCCGTTACGACAATTATTTGCATGCAAAAGACAGAAAAGCTAGGGAAGAGACAGGAAATTAGGGAATGGTGATTTTGTCTTCTTAACCATCCCCTTAGATCGGCTTTTACCCTGAGGAGTAACATTTGTTTAATCTCTGTAAACAGAGCTGGGACCTGGGCAAACTGCCTGTATGGGAGCCCCAGTGCACCACCCTGCTCTTAGGAACAAGCAGACATTCCCGTTGGGCACCTGTGTCCCGTCGTGATTCAGGGCGTTCTTCCGACAGACCAGCAAAGGTCCCACGAGGCCAGAGTTGGTGTCCTTGACAGCGTCAGTGGCTGAGTAGTACAGGTAGGTCAGGCACGGGGGGTCACTCTCTGTTGGACCGCCGTTTTCAGGCACCCTCCATTTGTACGTGAAGGTTTCACCTGGCTTGACATGGGCTCCTGGCTTCAGGTAGCCTGGAGAGACAAAGTTGAGATGCACCAAGATTACAGGAAGGCTTTGTCTCCCTGACTACAAGAGTTAGATGGAAGTTGGGCATAGCTACAGATTTCTGTGGAGAAGCTCCCCCTTGCCACCACAGCTGGAGGACCATCCCATAGTTTGGGCAGCTGTGCCATGGGAACATCTCACTCGAGACCCGTGCCATGGGGACAACCAAGCCAATTCCCTGCAGAACATGTTCAGCTGCTCCACTCAGACACCTTCCGACGCTACATTGGATTATCTGGATTATATTCAATCAGACAAGACACGCAGAGCTCATCCTGGTGCTTAAATGGATGCCTCTAATGTTTGTAACTTACCTGCCCTTTCATGGAATTCATCTGTGGCACGGAATTCATCTGTGGCACAAACTCAGTCTCTGCTTTTCATTAAGCACCAAAAAATCAATTACATTAGTGAGTGGAGCTGGAGCTGTGGCTCTTTAGAAATTCAAAACAAATCTGATCCTGGTAATTGTTTCTTTTTGATTTTATAGCAATGCACAGGAGCCTTTGTCAGCATCTCCAGAGTGGATGATATTGTTCTTTGTTGGAGGCTACTTTTAAAGGATTTGGGCCATTGTCTGCTGCTATGCAAAGGGTGGATTTAGATTGTCTTTGACACTTAAGCACCCATTATCTATATTTTCTCAGCACATTCAGTGTCTAGTACTCCAAGAAAATCTTAGAAACTTAGACACAAGTGAAAATAGAAGTATTGCATCTGAGCCCGGCTATTTGCTGCAAACTGCAATAGAAAACAGACTACAGCTTCCACAGTATCCAATACTACTGGATTCATCCTGCAACAGTCCTCAATGAGGCAAGCATTGACTTGGAGTCAAAAGCCCTCTGAGACTGACAAGTGCCAAATGCAACATGCAAGGGTATTTCCTGAGAGCACTGGAAAAACCCCATATATCTGCAGATATCTCTACATGTAAGTATTTGTATTTACAGTATTTTCACATGAGTAAACTGCACTTAGACAACGCACAACCTCTGAAAAATTATTTACCCTCAGCATAAGCTTACAGGCTCTGCATGTTTACCTACAGGATTTCTGCATGTATACACCTGTAGATAGATGTAATGGAAATTCATGGCACAAGAGTTAAAAGGAGAGAAGGAGCAGACAGATTATTGATGAATCTGGAGTCAGGTATCTCTCTAAAGACCCAGAGGTGTGCCAGCTCACCTGGCTGATGAATTGTAGGTTTTGGGTTGATTTTGCTACACACTGAAGTGTGCAGTGCTGAAGGGCACTGCTACCAGGGACTGATAAATGAAATCACAACAGCTTTGCAAGCAGGAAGCTGCACTTCCATTGGAGAACTATCTCTTACATGGGTGGCATTAGGATCTGTACAGATAACTTCAAGGCTGAACTCAAGCCACATGCTTTTTTATGTTTTGCCTCCTGGCAAATTTGTTGAGTTACAAGGTCGGGAACAAGAGACAACAATTTAATAAAGCCTTTTGCATTGATCTTATTGCATGATGCATTTTACATGTTGACCTAATTCTCTCTCAGCACAATTTTCAAAAGAGGGATTATGTCCCATGAGTTTCTCTTGATGTGTTGTAGTGGAAACAAAGCAATTTAGGCAACAAGAAAAGTATGTTCCTTTTCAGGGCTGAAAATGCACTTTTTCAGAGACCACAGCATTATCTCTGTAGATGCTATGAATGGGATTCATCTCACCTGAACTGGGCCATCTCAAGCTTAGTCCCTAACTCAAACTCTAGACTTCTGTGTTTGGTGGAGACAGAATTACATCTCCAGAGCGCCTTCTTGTCACTGACTGTAAAAGGTACCTACCAATTAACATGATATTTAACATTCAACAGTTAAACTTAGATGATAAGGCCCTGTCCTTGCACAAAATGAGAGGAAGAATTTCATCAACACTCAATTTCAGCATTTATGTATTTATGAAAATTAATAAGGATTATCACTGCTTTGTGATATGTTCCAGGGAAATCAGATAAAAGTTGCCTTTGAAACTGACTATCCTGACAGTAAAGCAAGGGCAATGGCCAGCCTGGATTAGAGAACTGGGAGTGATGCAGCTGACACCCATGTGGTTAGCTATAGCCAAACACTCAGCAGGGCCATCAAGCCAGATCCTGAGAGTCAAAATTTCTGGAGCGTGTCCAGAGGAAATTCACTCCTTGAAATGGAGATTCAATGGAAATATTAGATTAGAACTAATAGAAATTGGATTGTGCTTGTGACTTTTGTTCAACATAGGCCTCAGCTAGTTTTAGATATATCATATGGCACATATCCAAGGAGAAGAACCATCACATTTGCAGACTGCGGAGTCCCATTGATTGTGACATGAAGGATAGATGCAAACTAATCAAATCATCCTTTCTGTGCCTTATCATACACAAAAGGGAAAACCTGCAGAGCTCAGCAGCAGGATTTTGGGCTCAAGTATTTTAGAGGTGATGATCCAGTGTACAGCCAAAACTTACCATCTAAGTAGGGAGCACCTTCTGACAGCTTGCTGAAGCTTACACCATGGGCCATAATGCTATAGCTTCTTCTGGCTTTGTTGGCAAACGTAACCAGCACTGTATCTCCCACCTCAGCTTTTATAACAGGGCCTTAAAAAACAGAGTGAGGGAAGGTATTAGAAGGACTGCTCTCCAGCATATTTCCACCAAAAGAAGAGAGAGCTGCTTGCACTTAATTCCCCTCTCAGTCCAGATGGTTCTACATTCAAACCTGATGTAATGACAGGAGGGGAAAATATTCACTATACCAAGTATTCCCAGGTGCTTCATGTCCTCTGACCAAGTCTTCTTACTGAACGTTGCATCAGTATATCCCACATAGTGAACTTTCCAGTACTGCCCTCCTATTCTGTCAGTCCCTTGTGTGAAATATGTTGCAGATTCACTGTGGAATTAGCAAATCAGACTGGTTAAATAATTGAAAGTTCAAGCAGTAACCCTTCATTTCAGATAAAATTATTACTCCAGACATAGGAGAAATGACCCCCCCCAAGTTACTAATCTGCATACACTTTTCTAGCACACAAAGAAAGGTATTAATGGTTTGAATTAGCCAATAAATGAGCATTGATTGTACATTAGACTTTTATGTTTAACCCTGATTTACTTAGGAAGACATATGTATCAACTTACCTTAGGCAAGAACTGTGCACAATGTGTGTCTAATCATTGTTGGCTTTTCTGGGAGACACTATAACGCAATTTGTCTCCATCAGTCATATCAGGGGGGAAAATTCTGCCACTGTGGCACCTCTGAACTGCACTGATTGTAAGTGTGAAAGCTGCCTGAAGAGTCTTGATGAAGGGTCATTAACTGTGTTCAACTTGGCGTGCCTCACTTTCCCCATGGATTTAATGGAGTAAGATAAGTGCTTCCAGAAGGCACCTTGAAGCATCACAGTTATGAATCCAGCTTCCTGACAAGGCTGTTTAAATCCATTCCTCCCTGCCCCTTTCAATTAAAACCAATGACAGTGCAGGACCTAGCCCATGTGAATCACTGGGGCAGTGGCACACAGACTCCTGAAATTAAAGCACAATGGGAGTTGACAAGAAATCTTACCTGCCAGTGGCGTTCAAACCCTGCCCAGTGAATTTATCATAACCGTCAGGCCCGTAATTCCAGAGCACTTCTTCAGCAGCAATGTAATATCTTCTCTTATGACTGATTGGTGAGGAGTGAGACGGGTTTTTCTGGCAGATCTGAACATCATATAGTGCCTCCATGCCACCTGGGAGAAGAAAGAGTCTGGAGACAGTCCCTGACCACCTGCAGAGTCAGCAATCTCATGGATTTACATTTACAAATGTAAATTCAAAACTCTCTGGGAGCTACATGGATTGGAAGCAATTACTACAGTAAACTTCTATTTCAAAATACATTCTCTGCTTACAACAGGCCAGATACCAATACCCTTCCTTTGCAAGGTGGTACACTTTATGCAATAGGTGGAACCCATAGGCATCAATGACGCTCTTTAGTGGACTTATTTACTCAATTTCTTCATCTCCATCATGATGATAGAATGATTTTGGAGGTCAGAGTGCCTCCAGATATCTGCCAAATAGCATCATCCTCCCCTGACTTCCACTGAAATACAGACTGGTTATTTCTGCTGAAGGTATTCATTGCTTGCCAGAATTGAGTCTGTTTTGCCTGTTGCCAAGCCCACTGGAATGAATGCGTAAAAATTCTCCCAATTTGTCTCTGCTGTGATAATTACACATTGCCTGCTGCCATGACACCTAGTCTATGATGCACACTTTTGGGGTCTTGCACCACACAAATATCACAACATCACCATCAAATCCCTTCACATAATGGTTTCTGAGAACACTGCTAAGTTTTGCCTGATTTCCATAAAGCAAAAAGCTACGAAGTGTTCAGCTGGCATGATTTTTTTTTTTAATGTGTACGTACTTATCTACAACAAAAAAACTATGTTGAAAAATGAGTATTGAAAACTCCTCTCATTGCTCATCAAAATCTCGGGTTTACCTAGGAATCATGGGGCCAGTGCTGGGTCTAGCAAGTCTTCCTCACATGGGTTACACAGCCAAGTCATTCATACTAGCTGAAGATTTGACCCAACATGTATCATTTCTGGTGACTAAACTCATGATGGTGATGTTTATCTGGCAAAACTGTTGCAAATGTCTCCAAAGTTACACAAAAAAAGCGCCAAATCCTGCTCCCCCTGCAAACATCTCCCAGTTTTCCCTTCCAAGCAAAGCAGAGGCTGATGAGGGAGGTCTCTGGCAGCGTACCTCGTAGGTGCTCATTGACCTGGCAGGTTATCAGCCACCTCCCGGGGCTGCCAGGGGTCATCTCCGCCGTGATGAATGTCGCTGGGAAGAGACCGATCACGTCCGCCCTCTGGTCTCTGCTGGTGAACGTGTGCCCGTAGAAGTAAGCAGCATGGATGTCTATCTCGGCCCCCATGCCAAACAAGTGCCAGGACATGGAAGTGTCAGCACACATCTCCAAGCCGGGGAGATTGCCATATATATAACCGTTAATTGCTGAAAACAAAAGCATGAGACTTTATGAGAAGTGAAAGAAAAGTGACTCTGGTCCCATTCCTAAGGAGTAGCATTTTGAACATCTGTCTTACTGCTCTGTATGATCAAATGTCCCAAATTCTCTGTCTGTGTCTGTGAAAAACATCCTGGTTAATATCAAGATGTTGCAAAGGCCAAGTCGTCACCAAAAAGGCCTGATAATGAAGTTAACTTGTTCTGCAGCTATTTAGCATGGCTGAAATCTATTTCCTCTTGTCCTACGTCATAAATATACCATTATATGCCAGGCACAAGCAATTTAGATTTGAAAATTTTATCAGCCAACTCAGTGAAGTCAGCTCTGTCTTCCTTAGCTTCTACATCTGATAATATATCAGGACGCTAGGAGAATGAGACTCATATTTCGCAAAATATTTTATTTCCTAGGCTCCCTGGAACAAACAAAATATACAGAAATATCTAGAATCAACTTCTTATACCAAATGTCCAAATAACACAAAGTACCATTGGCCAGTATATCTCTGTAGGGCAGGAGTGGTTATACCAGCCAGCCCACCATCCACAAGCCTTTTGAGAATTCTTTCAATACACACACCTCAAATTGCCCTGCAACTTTCTTTGCTCTTTTCACAGCTGGACAAAAATCTGTTGCCTAAGATAAAATGTTAAACAAATGTCAGAGCTGGGCATGAAAGCCAAATCTCCTTTCTGCAAGTGTCATTCTGTTTTTAGGGAGAGGTTTTTATCAATACAGTACTTCAACATTTTGACCCATTCCTTGCTGACACAGATAAAGGACAGACATCAGAGGGTCCTACTGAATTGAAAAGAGCCTGCTCACTGCTGTAGGTCACCATTTATTCAAAAGTCCTTCTCACCATGCATTCGGTTGCTGGTCTGGAAACCTTCATCCTCTTTGTTAACTGTGTCTGGTTCTAAGCAGAAGGTGTTTATATTCTCATCGAGGTACCAGCTGAAGTTTTCATCTACAATGCTAAACATCAGGGCAAAAGCATTAGCAGCACCAGTCCCTTCTATTGTGGTCTCATCTGCAGTTCCTAAATTGCAAACGAAAAGGAAAGTGATAAAAAAAGCCTGGGATGGGATTGAATTTAAAAATGACAATAACCTGGGCACACTCGAGGAAATACAGTTCTTTGCCCACAGTCTGCAGGGCAGGATGAATTTCACCTAATTTTGCTCTTCTAAGGCATTTTGACCCCCCTCCAACAGACTTTGAACAGATGAGTGCCTCCAGAAGGCAAAGCTAAGCTAAGTCAAGCTGATATTTCAGTATCTCTTTGGTCCAACACGAGCACAAGCACCTGCCAATATCTGTTGTCCCATTTCCCCACTCTTTGGCCCATTGCACCCAACCCTGTCCCTTCGTCAGTGTCATTTAGCATCTGTGTTCCTGCACAGTGAGCCAGGTCATGAGCTGGATCTATCCAGAAACCAGTGACTCATGGGTTTTTTGACAAGGAGTGGTGAGTGGTAGCCTGCATTTCTGTTGCACTGAAGTGAATTCTCAACCATACCCCCAGAGTGGCCCTCTAAATGTGGCTCTCTCTCCACAGACTGACAAGGAATCCACAGGTGTTATCTAGGACTAGATACTTAAATTTTAAAAGGCTGAAAAGAGGATGAACAGAATTTATTCCAGCTAAGTTCAACATCTTTATCCCCATATTTATTTGGGGAGCAACCTGAGACCATAGGACTAGTGATACTGAGTAGTCTGTTATTATCCACTGGCAGGTGTAGACTTCATTCCAATCAGTCTATCACTGATCCCATGAAAACTTTCCTTTCCTCTGCCTTCTCTGGGAGAAAGCTCAGAGTCTTGCTCTCAGTCCTGTGTCCACCAACACCAGCTGGAGGACTACATCATGTAGATATCCTCCTTCAGGAATTAAAGGCCAAACATGTAGATAATCTGGCTTTCAGGCGAGGATTGTTTGGATATGCTGTCTCCTAGCTTCATGTGTTATCTTGTAGTTATCAGCTCAGTGTCACATATTCAGTTCTGTGGATTTCAAAGGATCTCAAGGAGAATGTTAATCGGAGACATTTCAATTATGTGAGTTAAGCTGGAAACCAGGCTTGTTTTTCCCACATTAAAGTATTTCTCTTCTTCATATATAGAGCCTACTTCACTTAGAAGTATTGCATATGAAATCAGGGCTGATTTTGTACTCTGGGAGTTACTGAAAAGGAGTGGCAGAGTTACACATGCCCAGGGGAAGAAGTGGCAATGACTCACTTGATGAAGAAAAGAGGGCTGGTTCATAATAGCTCCAGCACAACATTATCAGGCTATAAAATACACAGGACAGGCTGCTCCATGCATATTCCCATATGGCTGTGTGATATAACTTGTAAACAAAAATAAATACATACTCTCTATGTGAAAAAAATTACAAAGATTGTGCTTTCAAATATGTAAATGCTAATGCCAAATTCACCACCCGCTCTAGTTTGATTTCCTGAGCAGTAAGTCCTTTGTTCATCCTGAAACTTCCCCAGTTTGGAAATACTTATTTCTGGTCTCGGCCACGATGGGATGGTCACAGCATGCTGCAGTCCCTCCACCAGCCGAGGCAAATCTATCTGAAGCCAAAGGGGAGCAGGAAGAGGGGTGTCCCAGAGCTACAATACCTACCCTGGGATGCTCCTGGAATGGCCCATCTATTCCTTGCCCCTTTTTATGGGCTATGTAGGGATAGACTCTAGACCATCATGTTTAAACCTGTAAGCAAAAATGACTGTTAAGATGCCAAGCTTGGCAGAGGGGCTTGCTCTATCAGTGTTTCTAGCTCAGTACCTTTTTTACACACCAGCAGAGGCCCAATTAAACCAGATGCAATATCTCTTGGTGTGTCAATGTGAGAATGGTAAATCCAAGTCAAGCAGTTTGAGTCTGCCAAAGTTGGGGAATAATCTTTCCTTACTGGCCATGTGTACGTGTAATTTCCACCAGGAACAACAAAGTCGTCCTCTTTGCTTTTACCGCCAGTTCCATCAGGGTAAAGTGCTCCTAATACATAAAAAGGAAAAAGGAATACTTTAGCCATCCCCTAGTTGCTTGTGTTAAATAACTGTGTAATTTATTCTATTTTAACTTGTATTTATAAAACAATAGCAGCATTCACAAATACAGAATCATTGAGAAATTTTGAAAAAACTCAGAATTTCTGTCAATCTCACCACAAATATATTGGGAGTTAAAATCCATTTTTTATTGGTAGATAAACCTTTAAAAATGCATTAACAGGTCCCATTTCTTCTTAGTCTCTTCACTCTTATCAGTCATCTAGAATTTTGTCATCTAACTGTGTATTTTTTCACAGGAAACAGATGAGAATACTGACTGTAGGAACATGTAGGCACATCCACACAATCCTCTAACAAAAATACACATGTATAGGTCTGGGATTCTGAAAATTAGATCATGTCTGCTATAGGCTAAAAGAGAGGAAAACATTTCATTGCAAGAACTCCATCTGTTCAAATAGACTAGAGGCAGAAGGAAGGAGGGAAGATGTTTTGGTGAGTTATGATTCAGAAAAATAATTCAGGCAAAAAGACCCATCCAACCTGTTTCAGTACTGGGTTTATCCCAGGTGTCGAAAGTTTGTGGCAAAAAGTTTTGAGATGCGGCTGTTCCTGGTTTTAGTCATCAGCTGCAATTACTGATGAGTTTATGAGAGGGTGATCTAAAGTCTTCTGATGTCAATGTCAATAAATACTGGGACAGACTTGTAGCCATGATATTAGTTACTCCAGGGAAAAAGAGAGGAAAAGGCAAGCCAGATTTTACCTTCAGAGTCCTTGTCATAGAAGACCCCATGTGGGTGCACAGAGTATGGGCGGGAAGCAAAGTTTTTCAGATGGATGATAAAGACATCCTCTTCTTCTGCCTTCAGGACTGGGCCAAGGAACCCCAGCCATGCTGCTTTGGGGATCTCCTGGGAGTAAGTGTCATCGGTGAATTGCCTAAAAATAGCCTTTTTGTACACACGTCCTATCCGGTTGGCTCCTCTTGTTGCATACACCCTTGCGAACCTGGTGTCGGGAAGGGAAAATTTGAGAAACGGTAAACCTATCTTAAGAACTGATCAAATAACTGGTGCTTGCAGTGCAGATAAATAGTTCCCTGGGACACATCTCATGGCTGGTGGAATTGAATTAAAGCTCAGGAGTACATCAGGGCCCCTAGCCCCTTTCTGTACAGTAACAACCATCCCACTTTCAGGTCCGGTCATTAGCACAGTTGCTCCAAGCCTTCATTGAGGACCAGCCACTCAAGCCTCAAGCTGCTCAATTTTAACAGTTTCTCCCTCTTTTGAAGGTTTGAAGCCTCACCTCTGAAAGCATGACTGTTCAGAAGAAAAATAAAACCAAATTAAGGTTTTTCAAAAGCCAATAAGAGAGATTCTAATCAACACAGCTCAGCTCCCTGGAAGAGTAGCATTAAATGTGTTTTGCATGAAATGTATAACTTCCACATTCCAGAGTCTATGTTTATAGCAACTTCAAGTGATGGAGAACCCACCATATGGTCAGTGGTTAACATATTATAACTTTTAAATACCTGCTCCCTTCGAAGCCTAAATTGCATTTGCAGTCTAATATCATCCAGCTCCATGCTCCAACCACTGCTTCCAGTTAAGTTCTCTCTCAGATCAAAGGAGCCACATACCATCAGAAACTTATTTCTTATGCAGACACTTGCATAAGTTTTAATTAATTGACTAAATTGCCTTCTACCCTTCTTCTGGACAAACCAAGCACACTAACACTCTTTATGCCACAAATCTTACACAAAGCTCTCTTTTGAAAGCAAATATTTCTCTGTCTCTGTGGAAGTCTGAACAAAAGAACTCACACAATAGGCAAGTAATATTCCAGCTAGGGCCAGAGATGTTCCCAGTCATTATTTCTTACATAACTGGGAATGAATTTTGCCCTTTTAACTATAACATCATACTGATGACCCAGTTCATCCTATCTGTGATGATATAGAATCCATTTTTTAATCCTCTCCATGTTACAGCTGGTAAATATGATATACAATCTTTATCCCTAATTATAATACTCAATGAAGGCAGAAATTAAACCCTTTACTACACAGCAAGCAGGGGATTGTATGACCAATTTCACCATAACTGACCGTGAACTTTTTCATCTCCTGAAGATTGATTGGACTTTCATGCTTCCTAAAAAACTCATCAAAAAGTCAAACTAAATTTTTCTGAAGTATCACTGGAAGAAATAAAGTAATTTCATATTTATTGTGAGACTTTGACTGGTCAGTTCACTTGCTTCACAAATCTCGTTTAGATTCTTTTGTGAAGTGCAAGAAACCAAAGTGGAGGATGTCACATAAGTTGAAAGGTATTATTTGCTTTAAGTTCTTCACCACACATCCACTTCTCCCTCTACCCAAATCTTTCTATGATTCTGTGATTTCTATGATACCATAACACACAACATCCCCCACTTTTGGTCATTACACCTCCACGATCACTGTCTAAAACAGACCTCTGAAGTGATCCAGATATAAAAGACTCCAAAAAGTACACTTTTTCATTTGAAATGTGCACTTTATAAGAAGTCACAAGTTTTGGCAGCAATTAAAACATTGCCAGTATTGCTAGGGCAGAAACAGTGGGGTAGGATGGAGGGGAAGGGACAGAATCTTCTCATTCTGCTTCTTCACAGAATAATGCATGCCAGATAAATACACCCCAAAAACAGGGTTAAGGAATGAGTTGCCAGGAAATTTGAATTTTCAGTGAATTAGCAGGTCTGTAGTCTGTGGACATAGCAAGACCTGGCAAGTCACACCACATTCACCAAGGAGAAGATACCTTCTATTGCCTGGAGGAAGAGCTGCTACCAGAGTGTTTACCACAGAGTAGGAGGTGGTGTCAGTAGGAGTGCAGTGTAAATGCACATGCTTCCTTACTTCATGGCAATGTACTCACATGGCTATGTCCTAATTCGAATTATGAATTGATTTTTAAAATAGTTTGTAAGAAATTTTCTCTAGAAAAATATCAAATCCATTTTTTTCAGAAAGTCCCTATTTTCAGGAGATATTTTTCCTCATTTTTTTTTCCAATTTCACCAGCCACCAAATATTTTGGTGCAGTGGCACCATGCTTTCATTATGATGACAGTGTCTTTATGTCCAGACAACACTGCACACTCTCTCATAACACCCCTGAGATACACTGTGTCTTCTGAAGAAGGAGAATTGTACCCCAGAAAAATGCACTTCTTAGTCAGGCTTTGTTAAATACTTTACATGAGCCTAGCCCCTTTTAATGCATAGCCTGTGATCCCAAAATCCAGTTAGTGATCAAAGTTCAAGAAATTACTGTGAGAAAACCTTCTAGGCTTAGGCACTCAGAGAGTCTCAGTGTCTAAAGCTATGCTACAATATCTGGATCTGTGGTTGCCTCCTACTTAAAGCTGTCTAGAAGTCAGGAAAAGAAGTCTTTTAGTGGCAGCTTTCTGAAAGGAGGACTATTCAAATGGGTGCAGTGGGTATCAGCTGCATCCAGTCAAAGTGTAGGTAATGCTCTGTGCAGAGATGTATTTTCAGCACATCCTTTTGGTTGCCCTCAGTACCTGAAAACAGAGCACTCAGGTTGTTCTAAGTCCCATTCTAGGTGCCCAGGCTGTCCCATTTCATCCTGGAGGATTTTGGGGGCCCACCTCAGCCTTCCCAAGTAGCTGGTATCTCCATGCCTCTTTACAAGTGTTGCTGTTCTTCGCATTACAGTGCTTAAAGTCCTTTTGCAGAACGAATAGCCTCACTGGACTGAATGCCAAAATGTTTCCTATCTGTCATTCCTCTTTGGTCACAAGAAGACAAAGCTTCTCCCTGCCTCTTCATATTCTCCTGCTCACTTCAAACTGCTTCATCATCCTGGTGGCCTTGTGATGCTTCTGTCTGAACCTCTTCCATCTTTCTGATCTGCAGATGTAAAAGCTGCTCCTCTAAATTTTAACTATTTCCCTCCCACTCAGTTGTCAGCCTGTGCTTCATGTCCATAAAGTCATGATGCTCAGACAGCCTTTCTTTCTACAGTAAAGAGGAATACTCCATCCTCTGGGGCAGAACCCATGCAAACTTCCTAAATTCCTTTTCATCTCCTGCAGTCAGGCCAGTCTTGAGGTTACATATAGAGATAAGCAGGTTTGCAAATCAGCATAAAAAGTCTTGTTCCGACTGAGAAAGACATGCAAATCCTGCCTTCATTTCTGTGTGTGATTTCATTTTGGTGCTTGACCCCTCTCAGCACTTCCAAAGCCACAAGAAAAGTTGGAAATGCACCTGAGTGGAACAGTGAATTATTAACAGGGAATAAACTCTAGTTCTTGAAAACAAGTGTAAGCATAATTATAGACATCCAGTTCCCTGCAACGACAAGCAGTACAACTCTTCCACAGAGAGAAAGAGTAAAACAAGAGTATCACGTAGATTCTACTTCAGATCAAGACTAGACATGCAGACAATCTGCCATTTCCAGGTATATCCATGTGTGAAGTGTAATTTCTAAACCCATTTCTTTTATCACATAAAAAACGTGTTTTGCCATAATTTTTAATGCGTTTGTGTTACCTTTGATCTGAAGGCTACAACCTAACAGAGGTTATGTTTTCCAAGAGGTGCTTACATGAGCATGGTGTTACAGGGAGCAGTGAGAAATGGGAAGAGCTGTTTGCTTGTGCATGACCAAGCAAACAGCTCTTCAGTAGCCTGGAGACAGATCTTTGCAGATACAATTTCAAAGCCTTCTGAGTTTGTTTGCTGCTGTAATCACCACTGAGTGCCAAAAAACAGCACTCAGGATAACTAGTAGATGTGGAGTCCCAAATTTTCTCCTGTGGTGAACATTCCCAATAGCTACTGTACACTCCTGGGTGCAAATGCACGCAAATGCAAAATTTCTTTTTATTGTTGTTGTTCCAATAAAGTCCCATAGACTTTACACTTATAACCATCATTATGGTTTAAACAACCATCTTTATAGGTTTATTCCCTAAAATCTGTAGATGGTGAAACCTTCCTTACTCTCTATCCTCTTTACATACTCTGGGTTTGGGTTTATAACCATTTTATTTTGTCAAAGTTCCTGATTTTTCCCGTGGCTGAAGTAAACCAGGACAGTGCCAGGACAGGGCTTTGGACTACCACAATTGTTTTAACCCCTGGGTCACGTAACCTGTTCGAGGTAACCCTCCAAGAAACCATGACTCCCATGCCCAGGCCAGGGCAATGTCTGTCCTTGAGGGATAGCCAGGGAAGGGGGACCAGTGGTGCCAACTCACCTTTCTAAATGGCGCCCTGACCACAAAGCGTCAAACAACAAAGTTGAGTGTCCTCAAAAGACAGAGACACAAAGCCCTCAAAGGATGTTTTTAGGCTTTTTCTGACCCACATGAGCCACAGAGGTCAATAAAATCCATGAAATCTTAGATGAGGCTCCGTGGTGTCACTGATGTGGTATGATGGCTTCCCTCCTACAATAAACTTGCCCCTTAAGTCAGTAACAAAGCAATTCTCAGGCTTCATTAGAGCCAGGATTTCACCTCAAATACCCTTTTGATGTTGACCCTTCCCACAATGATCATCTCTGCTGTTGCAATTGGGTTATTTGGCCTCATAATGACTCAGCCATTAGTGCAGCATCTGTGACGACAGTTTCACCGTCATTTCTCTGGGTGGGATCTCCTCACAGGCAAATTGCACAAACTGTGTTTGATGCTGTGCTAACAAAAAACACCCGTTAGTGTTGGGGTGCAAGACTTGGCCCAGATAAATAAATGTAGGATTGGTGGCCTAAAGAGAAGGGATGAGCTGCTATACCAGGCAAAACTTACTAACATCTACCACCAGCAGAGCAAGATTTAAGTGTCCATCATATAAACTCGTATCAAGGTAATTTCAAGGCATTATCCACTAAACTTTAATCTTGAGGGCTGAGCTACAGTGGGGGAAGAATGACTGGTGGATGTCAAACCACAACACTTAGGTATATTTTCCTCTTGAAAAGCCATTTTCTCCGTGACCACTTGGGAAAGCAGAAAACATCCAGGCTCACCCTCCTGCAGCAGCAATACCCATGCCCTAACTCACAAAATCCCGCTGGGATCTGCAGCACATCCAGCAGCACTGACAGCACTTGCACCCTGTGTGTCTAGTCCAGCATGGTTTAATGATGTCAGCTCTTCCAGCAGTTATGTCAGGTGGGAAGGGATGCTAACCACCTTCACAGCTCACCTATGCTCAGTGGCTGTAATCTGGACCTGCGATTTCCAAAGCCCTGTGTGCTCCAGAAAATGTAAGTTTACTTTCTGAAGGGAGAACAGAGAGTGAAATGTCTTGGTTTTACTCACAACACTCCAAATTATGAGAGTTAGTAGAACAGCTTGAGGCCTTAAGCTTAGACAAGACAAAAGGAAGAGGTGAACAGCCTCATTAGTCTATTTGCTTTACAATTACTGATGTCCAGCAAGATACTTAGTCTGTGCAAGCAGCAGGCTGGCTCTGAAGCACTGCAGTAAGACTGGGCATAATAAAAATTATCATCCAAGCAGAATAATTCTGCTAAGACAGGGCTCATTTGGGCTAATCAGCTCTGATGAGAGGCAGTCTTCAGCTCACATCCACCCAGGCAGGTTCTGATGCAGCACTGGGACTCCTGGCTCCAGAGGCAGCTCGCTCAGCACCAGCACAGCAGGAACTCAGCAGCATAGCTGTGTCTGGTGCCAGAATCTGGTTTCTAGCTCCATGCTTCAGCTACCAAAGCTCCCTTTATCTTCTTAACTACTAAAAACTAAAGGTTGAGGAAAATGTTATTGACTTTGGCAAACAACATTGATAATCATCTCTTAAATGTCGCTATCTGATCCAGGTAATGTAACACTTTCCATTGCACACTTGCTAATTCAGGATTTTCATTAAGTACTGAGGAATAAGAGGTTTTGATTATATCTCTGTGGGCTAGCTGGAATCAAAGGGAACATTCTTTTTTGTGTATGCATCAATTCTTTTAAAGATCATCAGCTTGTCTGCAACCTCTTTATCTTCACTTTGCTCTCAATAAAACTGGGATAGTGCCCCATCAGATGGGTGCTGTGAGGCTGCTTCACAAGGTGAGAAGTGCTTGGCTCAGCGAGCCTGAGTGTTGCTGCTTGCAGAACAAAGATGGCTCAAAAGGCATTCCTATCCCTACCTGGAAACTGATCCTTAAACTTTGCTAATGGAACTACTTTTTTTATAATATCCGTAGGAACCAATTAATTACCTGAAAAGTAGCCCATTATTATACTGTTTTAAATTTACATTAGAGATTATCCTAAAGAGCTGAATAGTCAAAATAGCTATTTCTGGTTCACTATTTAACCCACAAGCCTATACAGACACAATTATTCCAGAATACAGCACTTTACACTGGCTCAATTCAATAGGATTTAAAAGTGGAGTAAAATAACAAAAATCACATAATTATTTTGTGTGTAGGGAGTTTGTGGCAAACATCTCCCCAGCTTTGAATGTGCAGTCTAGATTAAAATCCTCTGTGGGTAAACCTTTTGTAATTAGCATTCTATAATTATTACATTGCCATGATGACTGAAGACATAAAGTATCTTCCATCCCTGTGTTGCCATTTAGTTAAAAAAAAAAAAGCATTTATGTCACAAAAGTAAATGTGCCTCTTGATGTTCAGGGAGCACAAAGTGCACACAGTCTCAAAAGTACAATTTACCGAACAGATTCCAACCTCTCTGTAGTATCTCTCTATTGAATACCTCTCCGTTGAAGTGGATTTATAAGTAGCTGCTCTTCAGTTAATGCTGTATGCTCTGTAGTAAGAGATCTCCTAGTTTATTGAGTGGAGAAAGTTATCCTTTGCTACAAATGTTAGGAAAGTGAGAAATTCAGGCATTTAATATAAACTAAGAACAATTTTGTCAGTAAAGCTTGTTTTCATGGGCTGGGAACAAACTATTAACCTTAATTCTACCTACAAATGTAATACTTATTGACTTGGATGCCATCTGGGACCTCTAGCTATTAAAAGCTTAAGCATAAATTTGTGTTGAAAAATAAAACTCTTTCTCATCTTCTTCTTGTGACAAAATACTTTCTTTTGTGAAATTCATCTGAGAGTGATTCTGAAATTACTTACCACTAGAGACATGTGCAGACTTGCTTGGGATTTCCTGAAAAGTCAGAGAGTACATTTCCATTTCTAGCTTCTGGGAGGCAGCATCTAGCTCCCAGTGAGCCTCCAAACCTGGTACAGAGACCAGGACCTCCTCACTTCCTCACAGTTCCCACTCCAATCCCAAACCAAGACGCTGAGAAGGGATCCCCAAAATACCTCTAGTGTGTCAAAAATATCAATGAAATGTTAAAAATATTCCCACACATTTGAATCCCATGATGTAAGAAGCAATGGTTCTCAACAAAAAGAGAGTCGATTCAGATGTAAGAAAAACGTTTTTAACAATGAAGGTGGTAAAACACCAGCACACATTGCCCAGAGAGGTGGTGGATGCCCCATCCTTGCAGGCATTCAAATTCAGCTTGGATGTGCCTCTGAGCAGCCTGACCTGGTTGAAGATGACCCTGACCATGGCAGGGGAGGTGAACGGGAGGAACTTTAAAGGTCCCTTCCACCCAAATCATTCTTTACAGAGGCACCAGGCATCAGAGCCATCTCCGTGGAACATCCAGGCCAGCTCTCCTGCTCTGGGAAGAACACACAGCCAGCCCCAGCCGTGTGGGCATGAGAACAGACACCTGTTTCACTGGCTAAGGCAGGATTCATCAAAGCGCTCCCCAGTTTCACAGTTCACCAGGAATTCTCTCTGACCATTCACTGTTGGGTATCTAAGCACTTATCTATGCACATTTCCAAAAGGGAAGTCCCCACAGTTGTATAGATTGCATGGGTATAGGGACTTGTATCCCATTCGTAGGTACCATAGACATCTGAATTTCATGATATCTTATCAAGTTTGCCAAATTTTATCAGGGGAAATACTTAAAATTACATAATATGCCAGTAAACAGGGTTTTGTGTTTTACTGCAAAGACTGTGCTTGGTTATAGCAAAGCTGCAGTTTGCTTTTTGATACCAAGACCCAGAGATACTTCCATCTCTATGAAATACAGGTAGGGGATTTTGGGCCCATACTTGATGCTTTTTTAAAAAATATCAGCTCATTAACATCCTCTTCAAATACACACTAACTATCCCCTTGCTTAATCAACCACAATGGAAGAGAAATCAATCAAAGTCTAGTCTTGCCTTGAAACTGAATTCCCACCTATGACAACATCATCAGAATAAAAGCAAGGAAAAGACCATCTTAAGACATTTGCAGCAACATGACCACATGAACCGATTTTGTTTTGGAGTTGTTGCTACACCTCCAGCTTACTCAAGCCCCCAGTCACTTACTTGTCCTCTAAGAGGCTTTGCCCTGTGATCAGATTTTTCCCAGATGGTGCATAGTCCCAGTTCTCTTCCACAATCCCAAGGTAGTAAGTTCTGGTCCTTGCTTCCACCAGCGTGCACAGCCAGAGGAAGCCGAGGGCGCGGAGGCAGCCCCCGCGCTGCGCAGGAGGCATCTGTGGTGCTGACTGCGAGGCTGGCACGGGCGGCAGCAGCAGGGTGCACCAGAGCCAGCTCACCCCTCCCTCCCTCCCAGCTCCCAACAAGTTATAAATAAGGAAGGGACAGAGCAAAGCTCCTCCTTTCCAGCAGGTTAGGACTGGGATAGGTAGAGAGCCGGGCTATGCAGAGCAGGGAGAAGGTTGCTGTCATGGCAGGACCTTTGCCAATCCTTTGGTTAGTGAGTAAATTACTCACTTACCTGTCCAGGCTAGAGCCAGTTGGTGGTTTTTAGAAGTCTGGATGCTTTTCAGTCCTTCTTTTTCCAGACTAGGTGATATGGCATACTAGGGCAGAGGAGGGGTTAGTGGTTTTGACATCCTTGTAAAAACCCTGTTTAAAAAAATTTATTTTAACTTCTTGATCATGTCTGAGATTTCTAAAAATAGCATCTTGTTGTCTTCATTGTTTTTTTAAAATGACATAACACTAAGGTATAATCCAGCATTATCAGAGAGAGCAAAAGAATTGGCCAGTACCTCTCATCATTTTCTAATCTATTTATTAAGACTGAAATTGATTTGAATATATGCAGTTTGAGAGTGCCCAAAATGAGGTACCTTTTTAGAAGCATCCCTGGAAATTAGAGCCCTTATAAAAGTCTTTCTATTTGGACACCTAAGAATTGAGGCACATGAAGATCACCCTTTTATTAACCTTGGCAATTAACATACCCACGTAGCTCTCTAGAAAATCACTCCCTCGCTTTACAGCTTAACGTCTTCCAAGAGGATATCTGTGTTACCATCTTGGCAAAGCCCAGTGTAAACGTATACTGGATAGGATAGGATAGGATAGGGTAGGATAGGATAGGATAGGATAGGATAGGATAGGATAGGATAGGATATTTTAAACCACTTAGGAAATGTCCCAAAAATATCTAGGTGACAAGACACTTTGCAAAATCATACTGTTCCTATTTTTTAACTGACTACAGGTATAAAAAAAGTTGCAGTTCTGGAATAGAGTTCTTGAACTCATTGCAAACTTTAACAGTTGTGAAATTCCCCTTTCAGGTCCAGAGCCATCTGACCTCTTCCTGTGGAAGCTAATGGTTATCCATGACTAGGGGTGCAGGAGGCTTCAGAAACAGATTTGGAAGTCACAGGTTTAATGCTGTCCACCAGGATGTAGCTCAGTGATGTGAGTGAGGTTTTATGTGGCAGTTGAGTGAGGTTCACCCTCTGGCATGTGGGAGTGATGGCTACATCAATGGTCAGCTGTGCTGAGCTTCCCTCTCCTCACGGGTGTGCAGGTGTCTCTGAAGTCACAGAGAACAACTCAAAAAACCAGGTGCTGTTGACAGCAGCCCAGCTCCAGCCACCTGGACCTTGATAGGTCTCATCTAAATGAAGAGACAAGGCACACAGGCACACGCAGTATTGTGCTGAAGAAGGTTTTGGTGGTTTTAGGCTATGCTTTCCATTTCTTTAGCTATGAGGACTGAAAGCCCAGTCTATGTGGGTTATATATGTACAGTCAGACAAACTGCAAATGGTCAGCTTGACACAGTTATAAAAGCAGGAGTCCCTTGGCCCCCTAAATTCTCTCTGATACATGCTGATGTTCATTTGCTCATGTCAGTTAATTGATGAACATCGAGAAAGAGGAGAGGTGATAGGACAACACAGGTGTTGTGCAACAGGACAATACAGGTGTTGTACAGAGATCCTCAGAGGCAGCACCTCCAGTCTTCCTGATATCCTTGGACACCTTGCTGATCTCTTCACTCTTTTGCTGCAAAACCACACTGTGCCCAGCCTCTTGTCTTCTCACGTCAATCTGTATCCTCTTTTCCAAAATGCTGATACTCTCAAGTCATCTTCCTTTTCCACTGCTTTATTGTGCCACTTTGTTGTTACTCAAATGATGATGACTAAAAGCACTGTGCTTTTAACAGGCCTAATTAGAAAGCAAAAGAAAACACAATGACAGTGGGAGCTGAGCTGAGCTTTGCCAGCCCGTGGCACATCCAGGGAGCATGCCCCTGGGGTGGGACAGACGAGCCAGCTGCTGGGCTACAAACCTGCGGAAAGGCCAAGGGGACACTTGGAGGCTAACAGCATCCCACTGTCATCTCTTCACAGGGCCTAGGAATACTTCCCCCGCCCAGAGGAGCTCTCCTGAGCCCAGGGGAGTTACAGACTTCATCACCTGTCACTCAAGCACCTGCATTTACAAGAACTCGTGCCTATTATGCAAATATTCATTGTCATGGTGTAACAAGCATTTGCATTCGAGTAGGAAATATGTTTATTTATAGGGCACTGTTCACTTTGCATGAGATTGTGTGGAGTTCAATTGCTTAAATCAGCCATTTGCATGCCATTAGAGATATTTAAGGACTGGGTACAGGACCAATTTAATCTAGACAGTGTTATTATGATTTTCTGTCCGTGTGCTTTTTTGTAACTCAAGAATTCTGTTTTCTGTTTAAATCTCAGTATATGTGGACTAATATAACACAAATGCATCAGGGTAATGGTGAATACGAAGGGGGAGTGTCCAATTCTAAGCTGGCCTCTGACTGCATTATAGTCATTTAAATAATAATAGTGCTATGTCCTAGTTTTTCTATTGCTTCTCACGCACCTAGGATTGGATCCTGGCTGCTTTATTGTTAGAATACCTCTTTAAAATTCAAATATGAAGTTAATTTATTTGTCTATTACTGTAAAATTTACTTGTGTAGCAAGGAATAATGTGTAGACATTAGCACCCTTTATCAGCAATGTGTTGTAAGTCTGGTAAACGCCTTAGCTTGGCTTCAGCACTTAGTAAATCTGGCAACTTGTATACCCTTTGCATCCACACATTAGCACTTAATTACCTTGTCACATCATTAAACCCAGGCACATTTGCATTCCGGGGAGGTGCTGTGGGCGTGACTCAGAAAAAGATGAAAGAACAGCAGTTTTGCCCTTGCATCAGGAAAATTTCTGGGAAGCTCCCTTCCAGCAGTGAGCTCATGGGATTAAATTTGTCACTTTGTTCAGGATCCTTTCCGCAAAGGGGTTGGCTGTTGGTTACTCTGAGACTTTCTGTCCCTCTGAAGGCTAAAATTAGAGCATGGCTGGGTTTCAAAGTTTTGCAATGAGAAGCAATGTTCATAGGACTGAAGGGTGAACATCTTGAACACCAGTTTGTGAATGAGCCCCAAAGCATCACCAATAGAGTTTTCTTTTCAAGTAAATCAGGAATTATTGGAAGAATTAGCTTAAGTTAGTGCACTAAAGCCCTGACTTGCGCTCACTAACATTAGTGATCAAACTAAAACATTAGTGATGGCTGTAAGATCAAAGAAGAGAGATGATGGATGTGCTGACCTTTGTCAGTTCCTTGACATTAGATCATAGTCGAGCACTTTATTCAGGCTGCCTATGACTGAAGCCCAGCTTTGATTCTCCAATCACTGAGCAGATGATGAGCTGATGTTCACACAGATTGTCTACTCTGTGATTGTCTGCTCTGCTTTCTCTTGATAGTAGTAGTTCCCACTCATAGTGGATTCTTCCTGGTGCCTCTGCTGTGTTCATTTGTGTCACCATTGCAATCTAGGTTGGGGAATTGGTCTCAGTTTCCAGCATAAGATTACCCTCAGCTAGTATTGCCACCAGCCCTGGAGCCCTGCCTGTAGTGACTATCCCAAGATGACAGTGTGTCTGTGATACATCTGGGAATTGAACCCTCCTAAGTTTTGCATCAGCCTTTCAACCAGGACATCCTCTCCCTTCATCAGTTGTCCCACTCTTTCCAGACACAAACACACATTAAATGTAAAAGCCTCTTTGTATATCACTTAAAACAATTTTCTATTATTGCACTTTCAAAAATTTTTTTGAGTTGCAGCAGTAGTGAACAGGATATAAACCTCACGTTATCATGGGTAGTCACACAAGATGCATGTGAATTACTTGAATCTTTTGAGTTCACACTGGTAGGTTGGAAATCTCAAAAGGCATTCAGAATTTCTGTTTGGAGTTCTGGATAGGACTTTGGTGAGAAAGGCTTCCTTGGCATACACAGCATTTTCCTGGAGCATTCCAAGTCTGAGAACTGAAAACTGAAACTGTTGGAGACAGAAGAACAAAAAAGCTGCTGGAACTCCAAGAATAACAAGGATCTACTATCAGTGAAGATATTAGAAGTGCAGCTATATCCCATACTACACATGACACGGTGAACCTGACTCACATCTGCCCAGAAGTCTTTGTGGCAGGATGGAAACTGAACCCATCCCTCCAGATTCCCATGTCAGAGCCCCCATGGCTCCCTGGCATTGCCTTCCAGCCATTTGGGCTCAGTCCATGCACCCAGCTCAGGGTCACAATTGGGCATTTACCACAGTGGTTGTCTGGAGATCATTAGTGCAGAATAATTTTCTCAGTACCTGTCTGCATCTCCTTGCAGAACAGCTACTTTGGTACCTTACCAGCCATTGACAAATCTTGAGGCAAGGTGTGAAATGGAAAAAAAGGGCCTCTGTTGTGTCAGAAGCAGCACACAGATCCTTTCTTTTCTGTCAACATTTGGAGCCAAACCCAGTATCTCTCACACCACCAAAAAAGTGCGATAACATAGATTAATTTATATTTCAAAGAAACCAATTATACATTTGTAAAAAAAACCCCTAAAGTTATTTCAATTTGAAGAGTGTAAAGGAATGCAATGATGAGAAGAAAGGCATTTAACTGAGCACTGAAAGGAACTGCAAGCTTGAAGAGATTACAATAAATTGCCAAATAGGCTGGGCAAGTAAAAATTGTTCAACCTTAAGAGCCATTAAAACAAAGCTAAAAAAAGTAAGTTTTGATCCTAATTAAGAGAAGCTTCTTGTGCGTGGTAACTCATGTAAATCTGCACTGTTAAAACAAGGTTAATACCTCGACAGAACTTCAAGGCACATTATTTATGAGTTTCCATGGAGTGGCATTGTAACACTCAACAAACATGAAAG